ATCCTGTGAAAAACAGCATACCTACCCTCTAGTTTTGAATTCTATCTCAAAGGTACTTAGAAACTAAAAAGCCTTTCAATAGATATTCAAGACACTCCTTCTGATTTAGTAGCATACAGCGAATCACCTTGCCATGTTAAGTCCAGGCAACCTATAATTGTTCGCTGATGAGGTAAGCCTAGCTACCTCCACCATGCTATCTCCTCAATGAGAAACCTGAAAAGCAATCCGAGGCAACCTTCCAACTCCAAAGAACTGCTGTTAAAGGTTAAATGTAGAGTTGACTTTAACCCACCATCACTGAAACTGCGAAGACCACTTGTACATGGATGATGGCTGGAAATACGAGATCCACACATGTACACGATTTCCAACTGTAAAGAATTATTATCCTAGGCCCTAAGACCTGATTGCCATCTGTCATGGCTTGCAGATGTACCCTGAAAGTACGTGTAATGCATTAGCACATTTCCAACAGTAGAACCTTCCTCCTTGCTCTCATCTCTACCCACTGCAGGGAGAAAATCTTGTTCGAGACTTTCGCTCTATTAACGGAAGAGAAACCTTCCGCTTTCTCTCTACTTAGCAAAGCAGCCCGCTCCCGAGCTCTGGCATTGAAACGATCTAATAGTAATGGAGAACCATGCTCCCGACTTTCTCCTGTGCTCTTCAGTGTTCCCCCTTCTTCTCCAGCATGGTACCCTTGAAATCCATATTTCTCCTTACGAATTGCCGACGGAAAACTTTCAAGAGTCTCAAACAAGAAGGAGACGCATAACTACCTTCAGGCGCAAGGACAAGGGTTACAAGCCTGCCTCGACGACGCTGGCTCTGGACTGATTGGACTCATTCTCTCCCGGGTCTAATCCGCATTAGCTACGATTAGTGCTCTCTAAGCAACGACAATTGGCTTCTGTCCCGTCTCAGGCACTCATTACAGCTGCCACTGATCTCGAATCTCGGCCGGTTCGTCTGAATTCACGTCACTTTCAGCGTACGTCGTCGCCCCACCTGGTTACCGCCGACAGCTTTGTTGACTCTCTCGGAATTATTGAATTCTCAGTGTATAGATACCATCGAGTGATCTCTGTAATTACGTGCTCCTCTTCATTAATTTGTTTCGAAGGGCCATCGTCGGGTCCCAGGTTTGTATCTTCGACTAGAAGTAAAGGACGTAGGCCACACAAAATACTCCCACCAGGCACAACAGAATGACAATTACTAGGATCACAACTCCGAACGAATCCACGGCAGAGCTTTTCAGGGGCATTCCCCGAACTGTAATGAGTTTCCCTTCTCTCGCACAGCTTGTTGTGTCTGTTCTATCCTACTGTAGACAACAAGCCTCTAAACTCGTTTCTAACTCGCAGGTGACTCCTCCGCTATGAACACCCAAACACGCACCACCACACCCTCCTACAATCCCACTGACCTCGATTTGCACAATTGTGCGAAGTATCAACAAATCAAATCGTTCCGCCTTCCGAACCGTTATTCGCAAGATAGTCCCAAGCAAGCGCGACAGCCCTTGCCTTTCGCTCCCATCGTACCGTAAGCCGCTAACTCAACCAGGCCAGAGCTCGCCCCTCTTGTGCTTCAGCAGCACCGCCACTGAAATCTTCAAACTGCAGCCTCGAACGAACCTCGATCCGAAAGATTAGAACTCAGCTACAAACTCGATCACTTATTCGATCGATCGAAAGTGGAATTCAGTTCAAACTTACAAACAGACCTAACCTCAAAGACCTAATCACGAAGGCGATGCAACAAATCAACACTCTTTTGCCAGATCCCGCACTCCAGGGCCATCGAGTGAAATCTTCGAGTGAAATAAACGGGAGATTCCCCACTGGAATTTCCGTCGGTCAATTACCCTACTGGCAACAAACCGTCACCGTCACAAACATGAGTCAAGCCCAACCCACTCCACACTCAAAGAATCTAGGTCGACGCAAAAGGGAAAATCGCTCTACGCTCCCGACGCTTCCAGGCTCGACTCGAAGAACTAACGTTCTTCGATCCGTCCCCGACTCTATACCCCTCGTGACCCGAACCCTAACTTCACGTCTAAAGATAGTAAGTGCTCAAACTGCGTGAGCCGACTCGTAACTACATGACACGTGAGCTTGGAAGATTCAAACAAATCTGACAGATTTGTTTGTGACGTGTTAACGATACGAAGAGTAACACCGAGGACCGGTGACTAGTAGGCAAGAGCTTGCAGAGGAAGTGGTTGGAAAAAGAAGCGCAAAAAAATTGAAGAATCTGAATCAAAACCTATACAGGTCGCACGCAAGCCTGTGATCGAGTAGATCAAGCCACGAATGGAAGTCAAACACAGTGTCAAAAGCTTTAGATGGAAAATTCACAAGAATTTTCCAGGGTTTAACAAAGAAAATTTCACGAGTTGGACATGACCCGCAAGTGCAAGTGCTGATAGTGAAAACTTGCAAAATTCAACAGTCTAGATTTCCGCGAACAGATCGTTTGCAGCAGATTAGCACAAGCGAAGGGAAGCAGATTCTTGACAACTAACATCAGATTTGAACAAACGATCTCAAACTAAGGCAAAAGCGCGCGCAAACGCAAGATAGTGTAGGTTTGTGAATTGAAAAGCCCGCGCAAACAGACGTAGATGCAATTGGACAAATTTTGAAAGCAAAAACAACGACCAGTTGCACGAAGACGAGCGAAGTCGGACATAGTCCAAGCGTAGGCACATAATCGCAAAAAGTCCAACGGGAGCGCCAATGCAAAATTGCGCAAAGCCGAATGAGGCAGTGGCGTGGAGGCATGCAAAACTACGCAGAGTCGAGCAACGACCTCCATGCTGACTCTTACTCAAATTTATCTCAGATGATTTTTGGATAGTTCATCCTGAATTTAGAATGTAAGAAAGTTTGCTAGTGTCTCGAACACCCTCTCACACAAATTCTCTACTCAGCATTCAATTACAAACATTCATCGATACTCCAACAAATAGTGAAATTCAAATTTTTTTTAATGAAACAAGTATTCACACAATGAATCCACAAAACTTGCTTTAGAGTCTTTTCTCTATCTCTCAATTTATATCACTTGGGAAAATATCATAGTGACAAATGGTTAATATAATCTAATTTACTTTTACAAAGATAAATCATGGTAAACTTGACCAATTCTAATACATGGCAACATATCATTGGCCTACCTAATACTTTTAAAAGTTACCTTATTTCTAGATTGAGGTGTTGATATGTCATTGTAAACTTTCAAACTTTTAAAACCTTCTACTTGCCATTAAATCAACTTTAGACTTAGTTTAATCAATCAAATTTTTTTATTTAGTCAAACCAATCAAAATTCAAGTTTTTATCTTGGAATCTAGACGTTTGTAACAGATAAAGCATGTGCTCACTCAAATTTTATACTCTAATTATTTAGCCAAGTTTAGATTTCATAGCTAAACTTAGTCATAACTAGATGAACTTAGTTATAATTAAACTAATCATGATCAAGTCTTTGGCTACTTTTAACAACTTCTTTATACATGCAACAATCGCTGTTATAGTATAATCTCCGTCAAACTTCTCCCGCAAACTTACGTCAATTCCTTTGGCAATTGTGAAATTGGATTTGCTAAAGAAGATGGAACATAGATTGAAACTTGAGCATCTTGAACTTATTTCATTAAATTTTGTACGCCGTCATTCTTTTGTTGTAGCTATTGTAGCATGGCAACCACGTTGTGCATTTAAATGTTGGAAACGTGAGTTATCATGAATTCAATATGTTTGTAAGTTCACAAGTAAATGAATTAGCAAATCTTTGTATTGTGTACTCTTAAAAGTATCACGAAAAGTGAAGACCTCAAATTGTTTAGAGACAAGACTAGTAGTGGATTTTTGTCAAGCTGTTGCATACGACAACTCACACAAGATTTGGAATAGCACTCGAAGCGAGAAAATTGGAAATATCAACAATAGAAGTGAGAAAACAGGAAGTGATATTGATAGCAGTATAGTATGTAAAACTAGTGTTGACGAGAGTGAGCAACAGTATCCCAAAACTTTCTATTTAAACTGCTAAGACAACACTCAAAAACTCTAAAGTTGAAAAGTTGGCACCACCTCCAAAGTTGAAAAAAGCTCGCTATATCATATCATCTCCGTCATTGTTGTTGTCACGTACTTGACAATTGATAGTTGATTTACGCATATGGGTTGTGAATGTGGGTTGTTGTGCCCTCTACTAGTGTGCAAATCTTCTTCTATAGGCTGCAATCTCCATATACTGATCATTGTATAATCTCTACTTTCCTTGAGCTTACAACACTTCAAATCTAATGGAGAATCATAATTCCAAGATTCAACTAAGCTCTTTCACATATGCATTCAGGCATGTCAAATATAATCAGAACTCGATTCTTAGAGATTTCAATAATTTCACTAAGTCATGTCAAAAGGCTCATGCTTTCTTCAATCAGATTCAATTCAGTATTTGAGGTTTTATTTTCAATAAAATTAGAATTTTCTATGAAATAACATGGAAAGAGAGAGAGAGAGGCTAAGTGATAGAGGTCACTGAAGACATTGCTAATTGTGAACGACCATATGGTTTATGAATATATTCCTATTTGAAGGTTAGCACTATCTTGGTTAAAAATTATGTCAATATAACTTTCAATTTTCATTAAAAAAATTTGATGAATATAATCTGCTAGTTTGTATACATTTCTGTGAACTTAAGTGAGTTAATCCACTCACATTTCGTACATATTGCATGAATATGACCAATGTAAAATAGATATACATAGCGTCTTTACCTGCTAAAGAAAATTTGGATTTGTGATAAAATCATTAAAAGCTTGACTGTCACCCCTTACAATAATGATTTGATTTAAACGCTTTTTGTTTGAGAAACCCTGATTAACATGCCATATGCACGACATCCCCAAATATGAAAGAAGAAAACAATGACGATCATTTGAATTGAATCAAGAATATGCGCAAGCGATGGTGCCGAATGTATAATTTGATTGAGATAAGAGCAGTTGTTATGCGGGAATGTAGTACAACTCGCTAATGGGATGCTCTGGTTGTGAATCATGATGACGCTCACGTTCGTTGCTTTTCCGTGGGACGTAGCATTAAAGCGGGGCCGTTGTTCTAAGATATTTTCTCGGTATTACTTATCCGATGCTTCTCAACGCTGTACTAATCACTGCACCAAACACTAGTGAACATAGCCTTTCGACAGCCCTAAACGGTACAGGATTTGCTAAACGAAAAAGTCGCTGCACTTAGCTTCACAGTTCCCCTTGGACTCCTGGATAGATTGCTTTCCTTTGAATATTGTTCCGATTTTCCGTGTCCTGATTCTTCCAATACCTTAGTACGTGTTTCGCAAAGAGCGAGAAAGTTAGTTTAAGTCTGGTCTTTCATTCTGTTAATTCCCTTTTTGAATTCTAGCCTGATCCTGGCCAGCTAGCTGTTCAAAGCTTGGTCAACTCCAACAATTCGTGCCAGAAGAAAGAACCCTCTGCTAGTTTTGAGTTCTTAGACAGATGAATATTCATGAACTCCTCACAGATTATATTCTGACGATGAATTTGCCGCTAGTACACCTAAATTCTGGTACTGAAGTACATTGCATGAAATCGAAACCCCTTAACGTTGAATGTCAAATTTACACCTCCACTCAGCCTTTGCAAATATTAGAGTTCGTGCGATGCGCTCCAAAACTGTATTGTATTTTTACTTCTGCATGAAAAATGTGGATATCATTTGATGATTAGATTCAAAATCCTCCCTGGAACATATATTTTCTTCTTGATTTCCTTGCCTTCTAAAAATTTGTCAAAATTGCCACTTTTTATTGCTGCAGCAAAAGCAGTCTCTTCGTCCGCTCCAGCTGGCACCTCGATTGTACCTCTTAACTTGCCGTTCATTTGAACAGGCAAAACGTGCACATCTTCTTTCAAGTATTCATCTTTGGCCTGTATAAATGTCCAACAAGGGTTCAGTCCGTTAAATTGGGCCCAATTGTAAGAGATATCTAAAACGGTTTTACCATTCTGCACGTTACGTAGACTTACGTGACTTGAACACTACTACGAAGACTCAATGTTAAAATTAGTTCGGTGTGTACCCTTTGCGGAAGCTATGCCAAAAGCGTTAAGAATTTAGGTTAAAAAGGTGAAAGGTAGAAAAAAAATAAAAACTTCCATTCATTTCAATCCTTAGCTTGAGACGTGGAAATGCAAATTTCGCGACTATCAGATGAGGTGGTAAACTTCCGGCAGGTCCTACTCACCTCTGGCCAGCTTTCGTAGGCAAGACTTTTTGAGTGTCCTAAACGGCACCACAGCTCCTCGGCAATGTGGGGTGCAAATGGTGATAACAGCAGAACGAAGGGCTCCACGATGGCTCTGGGCCGATCTCTCCACTGTTGAAAAAATGGCGGAAAATTCAGAACACATCCCCAGAAACTGAATACTTAATTCTTTGTAGAATTGAGAAATAAACCTGTACTTGCTGACTGTGTCCTTTCTATACGGAAACCTCTCATGCTATTGGCCATCCTAGCGTTCCGTCCACTTAACTTCTGGGCATGTTCCCATATGTTCCCTTGCAACCACTTATCAGCACACAATCTATACACGTACTCAGCGAAACTCTTAGAAACCAATCTCCAAGGAGAAGGCAAATTATTCACCCTCTTTGTTTCAGCAGTCAAACATACCTTACTGGCTGCATTTAAGAATTCCATCATGCCAGCAATTGCGGTATTGAAACGCATGCCTTCTATGTCATCTGTAACCTACACAATCACCAAAAGAGACCTTGAGTATGATCATCGGCATCTACAATTACAGCAATGGAGTAGTCCTTAGAGTTGCATTGAAATCAGCTATCATGGACAAGGTATAATCTTGCAGTTTCTAGCCTCTTATGATCACAAAATTGAAACGCACTCTGTATATGCATCGATGAAGAATCTTCAGCTGTTCGAGAGATGGTTCGCCATCTGTCACGAGAGATCCTTCGGGATAAGGACCTTCTGCAGGAGGAATTCCAACCAGAAACCTCCACGCACGACCCAGAAACCGATATACACCTTCAACTCCATTCGTACTCCAAACTTTTGTATCCCTTCAACTCAAGGGAAGAGAGCCAATGTTAAATTCCATATGATCATATACATGGTCATATACATATATTACAATACATTGTTACCTCGATAATTTCAAAACTGAAGACAAGATGGGGAACCACCCCGCTACTTGCATAGTGGACGAAACTAATGTCCAATATCTAGTTACATGCAGCACCTTCGGTAAAATGAGAGCGAATTGATACAAAGCCTAGCTTAGCTGCTGAAAACAGAAACATGCCCGGAATTTCTGTACAGTGAATCGAAGCTCAAGCTGCTGCTGCTTTTATGAAGTTAATCTTTCAAGACCAACAAGTTTACAGGTGGATGAGCTAGTAATGAGCTTCTTGGCTGACGACTGAAACCTCATATAGAACCTCCATTGTGAGGAGAATCAATCTAATATTCATGAGATCTGCCCTCCCAATCTACTTCTTCTTCATACTATCTTCTTATACTTTCAGGTCTGTTACAGCAAACACGCTAAGTCGCGGCGCAGCGTCCATAGTTATCAGGCAATGGCAGGCAATTATGAGAAATGCTTGAAACGTACTGTACAGATAACGCTTTACATACCTCAAAGGGCCCATGAACATTTCATAGAGACGTAAGGAATCTGCTCCGAAATCCGTAACAACGTCATCAGGATTGATCACGTTGCCCCTGCTTTTGCTCATTTTATGAGCTCTGGCACTCACCCTGATGCTTTGATCATACTTTAGAACATATCCATCTCCCGATTTCAAAACCTGCCACAAAAAGGTGATATATTGATATTCCTTACCACCAATGTCTCCGTTCAAAATAACAGACCCCAAGAAAATTATAATTTCAGATTTAGTTGTGGCTTACATCTTTCTCCGATACTCTCTCCGGCAGGCAATCTTGGCCCAATGAATCAGCAGATACATAGTTCCCGTCTGTGTCTCTATAGGTTGTATATTCCACCTGCGAATTCCGGGTTCACTGAAGTCAAGTACTGCTGGGAATTTAGGTCTGAAACAATCTGATGAAAGGCACGAACTTCAGATGTGCAGATTGATACAAGAATATCTTCGCATCTAGAAGGCAAGTTGTTCCAGAATATTATCCGTGCTTCATGTTATCAGAGTCAGGCCATCGAAGTAGATGAATAACAGAAAATGCAATTGTAATTGGATTAATTGACGGTTAGTAACAGAAGGTAAGTAGTCATTTCCTTCAGGGTGATCTATAAAGGGTTACCCTTGTGACTAAGGAGACACTATGGTTGGGAATTTCGGAACTGTGTGTCCAGGCTCAAAGCTGACCCTGAAAGCTGTATATATTGCTGTTTAGTTACTAACTCAGGTCAGAGAGTATGTTTTGCATCCATGTCAATGAAAATACAACAAAAGCTTCAGTTATGCAATAACACAACGGTGCTTCATGTTATCAGAGTCAGACCATCGGAGTAAAAATCAACAGCTACATACAAATTTTATTTGGATTGATGGACGGTTAACATCAGAAGGTAAAAAGTCATTTACTTCAGGGTTCCCATTCTGACTAAGATCACCCAATTGTTGAAAGTTTCAGATTTGTGATTCCAGGCTCAAAGCTGAGCCTGAAAGCTGTATGTATTGCTGTTTACTTACTAACTCAGGTCAGAGAGTAAACTTTTGAAAGTGATCATACCCTCATCGAGTTCCCTCATCATGTACTGATCACACCTGATTACAGAGATGTGGGAGAGGTGATAACGATCAAGCTGAATTCTACCTGGAGTTTGGTTCAAGGTGTGGAAAGCTACATTCAGAGTTCTGTCCTCTAAAGCATTGCTCGGAATTGAGTGTGGGCAAGCCATTGCAAGGGCAATAGAGTCCACAGGATTTGGTGTGGTAGAGACATCATCTACAAGTGAATCACATCGGTCACATTCAGAAACCGTTCTTGGGAAACGATAAGATCGGGGAACACAACATAGTAGTCAAAAGATTGTCAAATCCTGAAGCAGGACCCGTCAAGCAAATAAAACTTAGACTAGTTCCGTACCTAATCGTAGCAGTGTTTTCAACATGGGGGTTCCAGTTCGCGTTTCGTTTCTGACTAAGGCTAACATGCATATAGGCCCATTTGCAAAAGCAGGCGATTGATACAGGCAAGTACTCGTGCTTAAAAGAAGAATCCAATTTCTGCTTACCTCACCAAGAATCATGCCCTGGTTGACTAGGCGTTTGAAAGGTTCCTTAGTGGAAACAACACCAATATCGTACAGCACCTGTAGAAAATCATCAATCGAGTGCGAAACGGATGAGCGACGATACCAAAGGCTTGGGTTACTCGTAACTCTTCGATACAGATAGCACGCTTTTTGAAACAAACGTTCAGCTACCGAGCTGAGGATCAAAGGTCTACTTCGTATCTAGCTGGAATGACGTGTCCTTGAAAGCAACCTTAACTGCAGGGAAAATGAACTAACCTTATGCCAGAATCGGGCATACAGAAGATGTAGCACTGAATGTTCTGATCCGCCGACGTATAGATCAACAGGCCCCCAATACCTATATTGATCAAGAATGTAAGAAGCGACATCGAGAACAAGAAAAGATTACATGTGGTTTTCTCTGGTCAAACCAGGAGTTGCTACTGAGCTTACAGAGTATAAACGACAGAAAACTGTAGAAAGAATCTATGATGCTGAAATTCAAAGTTAACTCACACCACAAAGTGAAATTGACTAACCTTTCCTTCTCTGGGTCAACAGGAGCTTTTGAGTTCTTAGGATCCATAAACCTCAAATAGTACCTGTCAGTGATTACCGCAACTTCCAAATTCAGGTATTCAGAAAAGGTCAGGTTGTATGCATTTACTCTTAGGATCCTAGACTCATACAGACTTTGACATATTGCCAAAACGTTTGAACAACCTAGTCGATTGGTGACAAAGAGAAGCTGTGTCTAGGATATGGACAACAACAGATCTGTCTCAATGACAACACGTGCAGAGTCAACTATTTTCTTGGCCCAGTTTTGATGTTGAAATTCATTATTGTCACGTTGCCGATTGTGTTATTTACAGAGAGAATTTGAGAAATGGGCTTACAGCCTCCAAAACCAGACAGAAAAATTGTGCAGAAAGCGATAGGCCTCTAGAAGAAAAGCAAGGAATTAATTATACCAACAAGATCCTGCCCATTGCGGCATCGTATTTGTTTCTCGCCGAACAACCTTCCCAGATTCCTCGTCCGTGTATGTCACCTTCACAAAATCAGCATCACTGAGTTTAAGAGCTGAGAAGTTTCGTACATAGTGAATCTCAAGATCCTTCACTCCGCACCCACTCGACGAAGGATGCATCAAATTCAGCTTAGAACTGCATCAAGGTGAAACTAAATGCAAAGAACGCTGCAATCGAGCAAGCGGCCTACTCCATCATTAGAGTAGACCGCAGAAGCTTGACATGACAAAAGCTTGCCCACATGAGAAGCAATGTACGAACTTCTCTCTGGATTGTATAGTATGAACTTACCCATGCATCAGCTTTCGCTAAGGGAGGTTCGCCAGTCCCAGTGGGCGTGAAGTCATCAATTTCTGGAAGTGTTACAGGGAGATCCACTTCTGCAACTCCTCGTGCTTCATTACTATTTTCAAAAAAGATAATGGGGAAGGGTTCTCCCCAATAACGTTGTCTGGCAAATAACCAATCCCTGAGTTTGTAGTTGACCTGAAATCCGTGAGAACAAGTGGACAAACGTAAATGCCTACGCTTTGCTAAACACTACAGCCATATTGTGACGCTCACCACGTTCACACTGAGGGAGCTAACTGGAAACGCATCCACCATTAACCACAAAAATTACCTGTCTTTTCCCTTTCCCACTTTCCTCGAGCCACTGAGTGATTTTTTCAGCTGCTTCATTATTCGGGAGACCATTCAGCTCGACACCTGAAGATACCAACGAGGAATTTACAATAGTACCTTCACCAGCGTAAGCCCTCTTGTCAACGAGGGCATCCTCTTCTCCAGAGGACACTACAACCCGAATAGGGAGGTCAAACCTGACTGCAAACTCGTAATCTCTCGTGTCATGTGCTGGAACCGCCATTATAGCTCCAGTTCCATAGCTGGCATCACATAGAACAAAACTATGAGTGTAGCGTTCTTCTTTTACGGCATTAAAGAACAGAAATTCAAAATAAGCGGGACAAAAGAAGAGGCCTATCAAGCTGAGGCGTACCTGCCCAGCACATAATCCGCAACCCATACAGGGATCGATTCACCGTTGGCAGGATTTGTTGCCATAGCTCCTGTGAAAACTCCAGTTTTCTCCTTTTGCAACTCTGTTCGTTCTAAATCACTTTTCCTCGTTGCAGCATCAACATATTTTTCAACCTGAAGAAGTACAAAAATTTCGATAATTGGCGTCTTGCTTGATTGTGTAGGACAACAGTTTACATGAGTTTTGGTGCAAGGGACATATCTTGGTCTCAGGAACCTCCATGAGAGTTGGAGACTTATGTGTATAAAAATATCAAGTGCTTTCTACAGTTTTTTAGGAGAACATTAATGCTCCAGTTGAGTCACGTTTCACAATGAAAGTGAGAAACTTCCTTCTTTCTTTGAGAAAATAGCGTTTGTAGACAACGATGTCATCATGTCACTTGAACAATTGAGTTCAAATATAACCTTAGAAAACATTACAATGTCCATCAACGTACCGAATCCTTTTGGTCTGCAGAAACTATTTGCTTCAGCAAGGGATGCTCAGGAGCAACTACCAAATACCTGCACGCATTCCAACGTGATGTGTAAGACGACCAGGAGACGGGTAGAATCACCTCAGGCAACAGGGATCCATTTACTGAAAGATCATAAGAAGCCCTAGTAAGAGACAAGTATCTCGTTCCTGTATTATTATCAAGATCTAAGACACGCTGTTGGAAATTAATCTCTTCAGTGCAATCTAGTTCGTCTCTGCCATTGACTTCGCCTCACTTCGCATCGTTTGTTCAGACTTTTGCGTACCAGAATATGTTTCTAAAAACCAGAGGCACAGAAAGTACACCAAAATTTGTCTAAGACAAGAAAGGAATGAAGGTTATTGAGTTTTCTGCGTACGTTGCACCGCAAAGAGTATCTGGTCTTGTTGTAAAGACCCTAAGACTTGAGGAGATCGTCTCGCCTGCACTGTTCAAAATTTCAAAATCTACTTCTGCTCCTTCCGACCGACCGATCCAATTTCGCTGCATGTCTTTGATATTTTCAGGCCAGTCCAGATCATCCAAGTCTTCAAGAAGTCTATCAGCATAAGCGGTAATTTTCAGCATCCACTGCTTCATAGGCTGTCAAAAGAAGAGGTCGTCACAGGATCAAAACAATTTGAACTACATGTTCTCCGCTATTCTACATCACCTTGCGGTTACATGATCGAAAACGACAGAGATCCAAGTCTACCAGAAACTGATTTAAGCGAAGATGAGCCGTTTTGTTACAGATTTTCTAATACTGGGTGGAGTCACTTGCCAGTCCGGTAGGTAAAAAGGTGAAGCTTGCCATCTAACTCTCGGAGGTATATTGGTCTATTTAAACAACATTCAGATGATAAGAAAGAACTTAAGTCAGCAATAAATATCTCCTCTGGCATTTTCCGTGTTGATTCAGTGTAATCCATCTCCTGATCCCATGATTTGCAATGAGCCTTCGGCAGAGATATTTTTCTGCGGAGTTTAAATATGACAGAATTCCTCACAAGTACAACAGAACTGGAACAAATCTCTTGATTCAAATACGTCGAAGAAATGGTTGTTTGTACCTTCCGGATGACTGGAAAACCACCACGTTCACTGAGGCCGTCTATTACTTCCTCGTTTGCTAACACGGTCCCGAGTTCGGGACACCAATTCACGGGTACTTCTGCCTACAACAAGATGTTGAAATTTCCAATGCTGCCGTCAGTCATTTCAAGATGTACAATATGTACATTTTGCGATAACGAACAGATTTTAAGGATCCAAGAGAATGTGTCAGCCCGCTCTAACAGAAAGATTGAAGTAGATGTAAAGACTTGGTACCAACATGGCGAAAGCTTTCCAGTATAATGTGAGAAAGACGTACACAAGTCCTTCCAACTAAGTACCAAGAAACAAGTGTCATGCTTTGGGTTCGAAGCGCCACACTAGGAACTACACAGAATGAACTTAAAGTTGATTATGATGTAAGGGTTTTAAACAGCGGAATACTTGCTCGGACGTAATTTAGAGCACTTAAAGTAGATCGTACATGAAGATGACAAATACTTGAAGAATAAGCAGAACTCTCCATAGAATGACTAAGGCAGGTGTTAGAAGCTTAGCCAACCTGAAAAGCGAGACCCTTATTAAAAAGTTGAAGAAATATCCACTGCGTCCACTTATAATAATCGGGCTCTGTGGTTGACAATTCACGTTGCCAGTCATATGAAAAACCCAAAGATTTGAGCTGCAATCAAAATTCCAAGGACAGTTACAATCAGGAGCTAGTAAGAACATAAGACAGAAAGTTTCATTGTACAGGAAATGGTGGAGGAAGCCAATGTATAGCGTGAAATGCAGAAGAACACACACCTGACTACGGAAGCGGTCAATGTTTTTTAAAGTTGTCTCCCTCGGATGAGTTCCTGTCTGAAACAAGCGGCACTGGATCATTTTGAAGCCCTTCGATTGGACCCAATTGAAACTATGTTTCCACCTTCCGAAATAAACAGAAATTATTTATCAACTTCTTACTGAAACGTATCCTAATTTGCGACAAGTCTTAGCAAAATTATGAGTTCGTTAGCCGCGTATAGGCAATCCTGCGTTATGCCGGTACCCACGAAAACAACCAATGCTAATTACTCCAACCAAGAGTGTGAAACAAAAATCTTAGTCTAAAAGTCCGCTCTTTATCTCCAGCTATCATTTTACAACGTTGAAGATTGCAATCTCACTTCATTCGGTGCTTGAGACTTATGTAACTCCTGTCACATAATATTTAACTTGCAACGTTACAGCTACAAAAAAATTGAAGGTAATAATTGCGAGAACTTTTTTACAAGGAAGCGAGCAAGTACGAGAAGGTTGGAAATACGAAGATAGTATGCCGAAATAGTGCCCAACGAAATCTTTGAAGACTTCATGAGAGAAGTCCCATAGAATGTTACCACAGTTCTAGCTCTTGTGAAATATATTTAATATGACAAATAGGAAAAAGAAGGTACCGACCTGGATTGCGTACTGTTCAGCTGGCAAACCAAAGGCATCCCAACCCATTGGATGCAAGACATTGAACCCCTTCATTCTCTTGTAACGGGCCATAATATCCGTGGCTGTGTAGCCCTCCGGGTGACCAACATGAAGCCCTGCACCACTGTCAGCAAAAGAAATTTAATGCTCGTGGAAAAACTGAGTGACGTGCAAGAAATGAGAAGGGTCAAAATCGAACTGATTCCAGCTCTAAAAGGGAGTACAATTCAACAAAATAATGGCAGACAACGTACTTGAAACAATTGTTTGTTTCGAGTACCAAATTCTTAGTCCCCTCATACAACATAATTCACTCGATTGTATTCATCACAAACAGTTTGAAAGAGAACCAACCTAGGGTAGGGAAACATGTCAAGAACATAATATTTGGGCTTGGAGGTATCCACCGCATCGGGAGTGCGAAATGTCTGCTCCTCATCCCAGATTCGCTGCCATTTGGACTCAATCTCCGGAAAAGGATACTGTCTGATTTTGTTTGTCTCGGTAGCCTGATCCACGTGTTCTCCCTACGACACATAAGAAATCAATAAAATTCCAGAATTGCAAACACACCTCACTTCAAACAATCTGAGCACGCAAACTCCTCAAAATTTCCTTCTTACCTTTGTCTGCTCGAGCTGAACTGGAGGTGTATTCAAAGTCGCATTGCAGTGCACTTGCCTAGTGCTGAATCCAATGGACCCTGCTCTATACAACAAATTATTGCCATGGCAAAAGCTATTCGAACTAGCGAGAGCAGTCGAACTCTCCGAATAAATTCTCGACTTCAAATTACTCTTGCCACTAAAACCCGGCGCAACCAATCTCCTGTCTCTCTTCAATCCTCGCGCTGCAGATGGAATTCTTCCAAAAACGCCAAGATTCCTTATGAAAGGTACATTCAAGAATTCACCACGAATCCTTGGGCCCCGAAGGCAAGCATTGCAGCAGGCCAGACTGTGAGACCCCATCAAGCCCCTGGGTCTCACTGACAAGGACATACGTCTAAGGAATCGACTCAATTGTGGCGGGCCTCTGCTACTCGTAGACTATGAGCGGCCTCATGAGACTAAGCACGACGATCTTGCTCGGAGAGTCACAATTTTCTGGGATGAGATGCTGTTTCTCAACGAGAACGCGATGAGAGCACGCCCGTGATCCATAGCTCCCTCCCGGCCTTTCCTTCCCAGTCCTTCCCTATCCACACTTCCATGAACTTTTTTGGGCATCGTCGCTGAATCGAGGGCCTTGAGGAGATGGGGCCCAAGTTTTGGCCAATCAGAGCACCGTTTAGACCCCTGACGAGGACTCTCGGTGCAGTAGGGGAAAATAATCATCGCCCAGTTGAAGCGGTTTTGCCATCATTCCTCCCCTGCTCCACCTTTCCTGCATTTTATTGAAGAGTTTATAACCTCTTCAATAAACTTGTATGCAATTAGAGGTTTGCATGAATTGAAAACTCCTTGTTATTTTTCCATCTTTCAATAACGTTAAGTGGTTTTTCATCCGCACACAAAGTATCTACAGATTTGCACTGACCTTTAAATTTATCCAGAACGAATTATCACTGAAATTTTTAGCTCGTATGCCTCGAATAGACTAAGATTTATATACAACATCAGCAATACACGTATCCCTACGCTCATTGTTGTTTTGCTCAATGTTTGAAGATGATGCTCTTTAGCAAACTTTCACATCTTTTAGTGCTTATGTAATGAGCAACCCAAGAAACTAAAAATGTACTTCAAAGCTAAAGTGTTTTAGAAATCCAATTATATCGTGGAATTCTACCCAAAAATCATGTATCTATGTAAAATCATTTAGAGTATTTGATACCAAATTTTAATCATATTAAATTGGATACACCCAATATATTGAATGATCCATAAATAGATGTGCAATTATTATATTTTCTGCCAATTGTACCTTTCATCCATATGAAACAGAAACAAGCGCTTGATACAGAGTTTGAATGGGATACATAATTTGAAACACATAATATTGATTATCAAATGGTAGCACTGAACAGTTTAGTAATAACAAGAAGAAAATATATGGAAAATATCAAACTTACAATTTTATCTAATTTTTTTTTTCAGCAATTAGATTTCTGTAATATAGTGTTCTTACAGGGATCCAGTATTTGTTATCAGCTGTGTTACAAGTTTCATATAAAATTTATAAAGAATATAGTGTATACTATATAGGTAAAGCCATGAAGCTTACATTAAATCTAATGCCTTTGAGAGACATAAGGTTCATATGAACCCAAATAAGAGCTTGCTCACTTGATATCATAAATATTTAAAGTTATCATCTGTAGATGGTCTGATGATATATTTCTACCTGATAATAAAAATATCATATTCAATCCATAGGAACAACTTGAGATATGTTTTGAATCATTTGCTGGGTGCAAATCACTTTTTTTATTATATACTAAAAAGAAAAGAAACAGTGTTTTTTTCCCCCAAAATTGGATAGTCAATCTTGAACCACCAATTTTATAAGTTACAGTTTACAATAAAGTTACTGAAAACGACTAAATTTTCACAGATTCAAAATAATAAGAAGATGCAATTTTTAAATGGAAAATATGTGGAGAATTTCTAATTTCTCAAACGACGACGAACCAGTGAACTCTATGAAAGATCACTTCATAGAAACGAACTTTGCATGATGCACATACTTCACTCCAAAGTACCTTGGAGTGAAGTATGTCAAATACCATTTCAAATGGTTATATTCAATTTCAAAAAATTTTCCAATAAGATATGACTTTTATGTATCTTTATAACTATATAAATTGAATCTTTGTTTGTATTTATAAAAATATCTCTTCTGATTATCAAGTATGTGATTTTGGATAAGAGGAAAGATGATCTTAAGTTTTGGAAGAGCACCCCAGCATAAGCATATCGTGACTACTGAATGTTATAACACATTTTGAAATAGATGTGGAATAAATAAGCGTTTGGAAGGAGTTAATTCTTTTTCCGTTTTACTCATATATATATATATATACATATATACATATATAAATCTAACTGCATCTTGTTCAAAAGATCTCGCCTTCATGTTTGCTCACTTGCATCTTACTCTTGCCGTCGTGCTTGTTATTAAGAGATGTACATGAGAATCTCTTGTGTCTTGATTAGTTAAATCCTAAGTCAGCCATCTAAACATCACAAGTACAGGTATCAGTTAATGAGAAAATAATCTTGACTCTCCTGGTAGCACTCGGTTGTTGGTTCTTACCATGCTAAACTAAAAGTCATTCGTGCTGTTTGGTGTCCTTCCGCTACCGCCACCTTCAACCTCTTGTATCATACCTATCAAAGTTCTGCCTCAGCCTTCTAATCTTGGAACTTGCCCAGCTAATTTTTGTGCCGGTTAAACTGGATGACGCACTAGCAGATGTAGAGTGGAGACTAAGCGATGGAGGAACATTTTGAACAGCAAGGGCCCAGTGTTCCCGCTGCAGCTGGAGCAAATGCAGCGGGCGAAGGCCCGATCCAGGCGAGTCACGAGGCAGTGTTCTCTTCACGTTGAGTTCTTGGTGGCTTCGATCAGTTGATCGATTGCACCGGGTCTGCAGAAGTATGCGAAAGGCCGGTGAATTTACATACGAAATCGTATTCTAATGGCTCCAGAGCCTCAACCAAAGCAGCTCTGGTTGTGTTTCTGACACCTATTTGAATTTGAAGGAATGAAGCATCCGAGCTCCTTAACTCTTATGTGGTAGACTTCCAGTGGAGAATCGTCCAACTGTAGAGTGGAGTGGGGAGGACAGGAAAGGCTTATGATCTTATGCATCTGTAGCTGCTTCTGGAATGATGGATAGTTCGCAGAAATTCGATTGACAGACGGACGACATGCGGGTACAGGGGGGTTTTGTAGTATCGGCAGCATTGAGAATTAGGCAGGTACAGCAGCAGTGAGATTGAAGTGAGATTGTGGAGGACATTTGAGGACAATCAAAATGGCACCGAGTAAAATTGAACCGCGGGTGCACAAACGCGTGCTCTCTGATCAGCAGCGTCGGCGAGACCTCGCCCTCCAGAGGCAACAGGAGTGTAGAAGGAATTTGCAGCTCCATGCACGGCGACTGGCGGCTGGATTATCTTCTGGCGGAGAAGAGAATGAAGGGGGAGACGAAGATGTTGTTGAAGCAGAGGAGTTTGAGGAATCATATGAAGTGGAAGGAGAAGGAGGAGGAGGTGAGAGCAGTTCGACTAAAGAAGATCTCAAGGATTTAGGACTTCGACAAGGGACGAGACTCAAGGGAGCTAAGGCCCGCGAGTGGTTTTCGAAGCAGCTCATGCTACCTGAATGGATGATTGATATTCCGCCCAGACTGAAAACAGATTGGTCTCTGCTCTTGGAAATTTGAATCGCCTTAAGCCAACAGTTTCGCATTTTGTAATCAAACTTCAGCACGATCCACGATATCTCCAAAGTCTTACTGTGTGGAATTTCTTGTTTCAGGTATGTGATGAGTAGACCAGCTGGGGTTCGCTGCGTTGTTGTTTCATCTAATGGCACGACGGTCAGCAGACAACGCAATGGTCGTGTACTGCATCACTTTCCCTCTGCACTACCGAATGGCGCAAGAACAAGAGACGTTTCCTGTGCTTCAAGTGTTTTTTGCATACTTGACTGCATCTTTCACGAGGTAGAGTATCTTTGGCGAATTTCTGCAGTGCATTTATTCCTTGATGTCGGACGATATGTGAAGATTCATAATTTGATTTCGTTGTGAGTGATGAAGTCATTCACGTGAAATGTCTAAGATAAATTGCTTGTCCAGCACAGCCCGATAAAACATATTATGTGCTTGACTTAATGTGCTGGCGCGGATATTCCCTGTACGATTGCAACACGGAGTTCCGATTTTTTTGGATGAATTCCAAGCTTGCTGAAACAGATGCTCTTAAGCCTGCTTCACAATACCATCGATATCGATTCAGTGTTTTGCCAGTGTATGAGTGTGACGTTGGGGGTCTGCAAGCAGCCTATTCTGCTCCCGTTCCATTCACAAGAGATGGTATCATCTTCATTAACAGGTACTCAAGAGTTCTCTTTCCAAAGCATCTCTTTGTCGGCGAGATGAATCATAGTGCACGCTATGACCTCGCTGTCGTCTGCAAAATTTTAATCTGAAAATTTGTACAAATTTGTATTGCCTGTATTGCAGGCACGCCCATTATGTTCTTGGAAGTACTCCTCTTAGTCTACTGTGGAAAGATTCCATATGTAGCGAATACCCTGTGGATACAGACAGTAAAGGCAACGTCCCTCAATATCAACAGGTTAGCATCTTCTTCACTTCAACTTGTAAACTAGCATAGCGACGGTAAACACCTGCGAGGGATTCTTTCAATGAAAAACACAGTGTAGAAAAATGCATCGTGTATTACTCTGGTGTTTTCAGTCCTGTGTAACTACAGACATGAATCCCAGTAACCTATTTCAGTGATTATAGGTTGCCTCTGACTAATGTAAGTGGATGTCTAGTTTTTGCAATTTCTTCAAGGTGTTGCGTTCATGAAACCAACAGAATCACTAAAAAGATGAAGTTCATCGGATATTTCAGGTCGTTCTTGTCCTTGGAGATGATGGTTCGCTAGCCACAAGTGATGATCCACCTGTGGTTTTGGGTACCATGCCACGCCAATTCCTGGAACAGGTCTATACTGCATTCTGTAAATATCTCGTTTAGGTGTCATCTATGTTTCGCGTATCTTAAAAGATTAGGTGCGTGACACATTGATATCTCTAGTTGATCATTTTTCTTTTATTGTTGCAGCATGATCAGCACCTGAAACCTGGAACATGCCTGCGATTTAACGTTGGTGACCAAGGACTTAGGATTGTGGATGGAAAACCACTGTTTGCGGACATCCACTTTCAAGGAGGTGCAGGCCGCAATAAAATTGCTGATACTAGTAACAAGGTGCAGATTTCCCTGTACATACAAGCAGTTCGTACCTGCACATATGTTTTTAGCTCTTGGCCTCACCCTATCAGCTGGAAGGATCAATAAGTACAAAGAAACAGAAGGTAGTTGTCATGCATATTAAGGAGTTCGGGGATTGAAATGCTGCTTAGAGCCCCTAGCTCTATTAATGGTATTGATCAAGTTTTCCTTGGTGTAATTGCTACAGATATTGTACCAGTATGCAGCAAGGCGGGATCCTTTGACCATATCAAACTTAGTTGCAGCCGTGGAATCTACTGACGATGAAGGAGACTTCTCCATGACAGGCTGAAAGCTGAAAGTTGATTTTAAAACTTCTCTCCTCACGTGGAAATGGAATAGGGAAGATTTTCTATTTTATGCACCCGGTCAGATTTTCCAGCTGACTAGAAGAAAGATGACACCTTTGGTCATAGTTTGAACACAGTTATCCAATAAAGCGTTAAAATTTTACGAACTCCACAAGATACGAGAACCTTTTACATGAATGAAGATTGATTTGTTCACTTTGAGGCAGCTTCGTGCCGTCACATATGTTTTCATCACCTGTATGTCCACATCCCTCTGTACTTTTTGCAGATGATATGATTGTGTACAGGCCTAAAATCCTGAACATAGTTTTGACACGTATTAGCACCAATCGTGACAGGTCCGGCCCATCCAATAAGTTTGTTACATAGTTTTCATCATGAAAGATATTGTTAATTTTCACTACCATGCTAGATTAGAGAATGATATCCTAATTTGGGAAAATTTGTATTCAGATGAAATGACTTAGTTGTAACTACACCTTCGGATATTTATCACCTTCAAATGTCCATTCACTATACCTTCAAAGCTTGCTCATTGGATGTTCTCCCGCATCTTTTTGTCATTATATCTTACCTGGATCGTCTTGAAAATTAGCAAATTATGATATATTTGCCTAAGCAATATTCGAGGAGTTGAACGAAGTTTTCTCACAAGGTTGCAGTCTGGCAGAGTTTCCTATTCTGCTCGTCGTCTATGTTTTTGCATACTTACTGCTGAGTGCTGGCAGTCTTTCTGTCTCTTCTCAGCTCAGTATTTTGTTCGTCCAATCTTTAGTTCTTTAAGCAATTTGCACAGGGAAACAAAAGATTTGCATCGACCATCAACGAGAAGCAGATGACCATAAAGGACTTCCGAACGAGTAAATTGACTTGTCCCTTGGCATCTCGTGGTTCTAGAATGAGAAATGGTTGCAACAAAGAAATTTTTTTCTCGATATATAGTCCTCTGATATAGATCAATAGTCTTCTCTCCTAATAAGTTGACTATATTCTCTGTAAAGTAGCTATGTACAACGATACCCTAACCCTAATAGCTTGTATCAAGATTTGGATGTAGAATGATGGAACTAAAGCCCTAAGCATTAGCTCGGTAAATCAGATATTTGAATAACTGGGCCACCATTTTGAACATTTCCAGCATGTTGTCGACACATATTTGAAGTTTATCAAGTCAAAGATTCCTGGCAGTGTCGAAGATGTCGAATCAAGGAACTCCACCCTTCGGAGCTTTTACTTAACAAAGCTCATGTATTTTGAAGCATGTAGAATGGAGATTTGTGAGATTCTCATATTTGAGCAGAGTACGCCTTTATGCACTCGGGTGCAATTTTCATGTTGTGTTTGTTTCACATGGTTTAACTCCCTCACTGTGCTCTTTTGATGTATAGCAGTGGCATTCTTGCTCCATGAAGAACGAGTGTCAACAAATTAATGTTCGAATAAAGAGGGAAAGCAATCTCCTTCTGGCAGTTTGAGGCATCAATCTTAGAGAAATGATTAATGCAGAGGTCATCTTCTATCTGCAAAGAATGATGATTCTATACGACATAGGATCTATGTCTTCACCATCACATGTACAAAATTGTTAATCACCCGAAGCAAGTAATGGATTCGATTGACTGAGCATAGCTGTGACAGGCTTTTGTACTCGGTCTGCTTTCTCTGAAGCTCTTTTTCGTCTCTCAAGTTCTCGGTCCAAAAAGAAAGGCTCAGGCCGAACAACCATGTGTCGGTACCAAGTAGAACAAATTTCTCCACGTAGAAGAGTTTCTCCGTAGAAGACTTGATCACGACCTCTAAATATGAAAACTTGCTGGTTCTCTTCATTCATCACCGTGGCATAAAGCTCCACTGTGAACTTCCAGGAGAAACCTGATTGTGGCATGGAGGCATTGTCCTCGAAGCGTACGAGGAGATCTCCCCCATAGAGCGGCCGTCTAGGTACCCATGGAAACACTTTGCGATTCTTGTGTCCGAAGGTGTCGTTATTTATGTCCTGCCGAATGACAACATCCCTCTCCCTGGGTGCAAATTTAGGGGCGACCTCGTTCAATCGAAGTTTCGAGGATTCATCCAGGACTGAATGCCGACCAGTGTATGGCTGTCGCTCAAATCTTTCCCACGGTTCAAGAGTGAGTTGTTCAGGTGGGCGGATTGGATAAGACTTGTCTGCGCTCGAGAGCAGCATCCAGGAGCCCAGAACTGTTGGATGGCGGCCATAGAGCTCAAAATTGTTGTTCGAGAACCAAACCCAGGGTTGCTCGTGCACCTGGTAAATGTATACCGGCCTGCGCCAGTGTTCAAATCGCCCCATTCTTAAGATGATGGGGTTTCCCGAGTTCGCCCATTGCCTTTGATATTTGCAGCCTTCGGAATCTCCCGGAAGTTCAGCACCCACAGTTGGACAGTTTTGATGCAGCTGAATGTACCCACCTCGACCTACGATGGGATCGAAGGCCTGAAATTGTCGATCCAGCGAAATTTTGATGTCCCCGGGCTGAGGAATGTTGCTGAGCGAGGGATATTTTCTGTGAATGTTCTTTACATCTCGTATGCCACGATGGAAATCAAATGAGAATCCATCTCTACCCACGTTCCTCCACCTGTTGTCTCCCAGGTGGAGAAACGCCTCGACATCGAGTCGGGTGCTATACGTCTTGTATTCATGCCTGTACCGAGGACCATGTTGGGCCCGAACGCGCACTATCAGGTCGCCGATGTGAAGGAGATCCATATTCCAATCTGCCAACACTTGACCAGCTCCCAGCAAAGTTTCCCAAGGGTTTCTTTCGTTCCATTCTTCAATCTCGGTTTTTATCTTCTCTTGCTGCTCCCACCACGTTCTAGGACTCATTCCGGACTCTTCGTTCCACTCCTCTTCCTCAGGTTGTCTGTACAGATCGAATTTGCGAACGAGGATGTCCCCCTCTGCCCAGTGGAACTCCCCCGACTGAAACTTGTTGCAAATATATGAAGCTGACATGGGATGCTCGTTGTCGGAGGGTTGGAACTTTGTCGGAGGTTGGAATCTGAGTCCATGGTCCAGTCGGAAGACACTCGGTACACGAATCCAGGGACCTTTGGAGTGAAAGTCTGGCCAGTAGATGAAGAGCTCTCCATATTTGTGATCCTCCCATTTCCGAGTGGGAAACTTGAATTCCCCGATGCGCAGTGCGTGGTCTCCGGGCCGGAAGAGAAGGTTGTTAAACGAGGAAAGTGCACACTCGTCATCAGTGATACTTCTCACGGAGAAGAACTCGTCTTTGTAGAGTTCGACCAGGCCTTCAATCGAAATTATTTGAGAGTATTTAGCCACATCCACATTTCTTATGTCTCGAATGATTATGTCTCCAGGCTGAGGCCAGAAAGGCTTCACTTCACCAGCATGTTCCATATTTCCTTTACGTGCTCGCCATCACATTTCCTATCGACCGTTTAGATTTGGATTCTGGACCTCTGGATGTCCTGCTTCCTTCTAGATACTGCGTATGACCACGTACGAATCCAGCATACTATTCCCGGTCTGAATCTCTACAGACATTCTATTAAACTTTAGCCTCCGTCATTTGCCAAAGGTTTCTTGAGTATCTTCTACCAAGATTGCACAAAGTATGAGTTGAGCAACCTGAGCCTCTCATCTCTGGCACTTGCAGATCCTTTACTTCCTTATAACATAGCGGCGGCTGACACTCACGTTTACCATGAACCTTTTAGAGGGATCACAGCAGGTTTCTAGCTGAGTTTGGAGCAGGCATATTCCTACGATACAGCCACGGTGTGGCCAAGCAGGTTGTGAAGGCTCAGTGTGACTATTGCTGATTCTGTCTTTTGGAAAATCACTTACTTCGCATCTTCGATTGGTAACCTGCAGAACCAAACGTTGCTACGAAGCGCATTATGACCAACTCGAATATTGATGAAAGAATTTCCGGCTTAAGAGTTCTCAATCTACTGCCGACAACGATTAATGCAACCGTATGATCAGAACTAACATTCCACGATGGACACCCTGGACTTCCATGTGATGGTGGTCTGGCTGACACCGTTATCATCTTCTCCCCTTTTGGCATCCGCATTACGACGTGAGAAGGACAATCAATGTTGCAGGTATCTAAGTTTCTAATGGATTCAATTTCGCTCTAGACTACTCAGCGTTAAGGAGAGGATTCCCCGATTCTCTTCGCGTTCTTGTTTGAAGAAAGCATCGGTAGATACAATTTGTGGCTCATGAAAGTAAAATTGTGAAATTACGGGGAGAATTGTCAGAAATTAGCATTTTCACGAATTATCGAGTTCTGCGTGAGGAATGTGTGATTACCATTATGGAACCGTGTTAATTTCTTCTTTTAATTCAGTATCCTCACCCAGAAGCTTGATGTGAATTAGCCGGAGTCCAAGACAGCTAATTAGCTTGTACCCAGAGTTGCGCCTAGCTTTGACCACGGCGATTCTTGCCATTCTTAACGCTGCCCTTTCTCAACGCCTGGTTGTAGATTTCATGTACATTTGCTAAATTTTTACCCGGATCACTTTTATGAAGTGATCAGTTGTTCGGTAATATTACGTCCAGGCGTCTTGGCCCGCTGCGTTTCTGCTCTGAATCTTCGACCCTATTGTTCAATCGACGTGACCTTTGGATCGTTGATTATACTCAGTTTGCTCCTCGATTTCAGCTTATGAAGCAGATCGTGCGTCGAGGATTCCTGATATCCGAGAAGTACAATCTCGAGATTCTAATCACTGCACAAGCAGACGGCGCAGTTACTTCTATCCTGGCACACAGGATTTCCCAATATTCTTGTTTCGCAGTTCCTAGCGGGACTGTCACATAAATCTCACCCTCCATTAGTCTTTACTAGGCTGACCTGTTGAGTCCTGGAAGAGCTCTACAGAATGTGCTGAACTGTGTGTATGATGTGTGCTGGAAATCGTCAATCGTCGCCTCACACGTCAGAAGTTCAGCTTTTCTCTAAGTCTACCTCTGTAAGAATCTGCTTCTTCTTTCTAAGATTCAGCAGACTCGTGTGCGAGACTGTTGATAGAAATCAATTGAGAAATTTTTGAAATGGGTTGACCTTCTGATTGTTCACAAAGCTGTAGCAGTCGACAGTGAGAGATGAAGTGAATCGTGGGAGCGAGTGCATCAGTCAGGAAGGTGCACAAGAGTATTGTACATCCTCTCGCGATTGCTCAACAGGTGGAGAATGTTTTAACCCAAAGCTTGGAGCAGATATATTCGTTAGAGGTAGAAACCTGACAGGATTGAAGTCAAGTTCAAAACTGGATGACTGACTGCCCGCCCCATCCCCGCGTAAGAAGCGATATTGGCCAGCAAGCAAAGAAAAAATTTATTTTCCTCTTTTTACGGAAAACACTTCATCTCCTGTAAGTTAGTTGACACGTCTTCTCAATCGTGTGTTACAAGAGCATATGAATGCTGCTCTTTCAAATAATTTTCCTTTCTCCCGCAAAGAAGGTTTTGTGCGGCGAAGCCTACAGACTGTACCTCTAACTTCCCATGATCTCGTGATATTCCTCGCAATCTATCCTCAGTGGGTTCGGGTTCGAATGGCCCGGTACGAATGATGTTGATCGATCGGCCACGGCTGTGACGGTGTTTACGTTGAGCTGTCGTACCTTGCGGCCCAGGCACCTTAGGCTGACAGTACAAACCATCGGAATCCAGAGATGGGATAGGTAGGCCGAGGGGTCGACCGGAGTGTCTGAAGTCTGCGTCTGTGGCTCCAGAGTCACAGCAGGTCTGCAGAGATCTGGAATTCATGCACGATCCCTCCAAAAAAAATTCTGCTATCGGGTCGGAGTGAGAATCAACTCGATGCTCGAGCAGCCGAGGTTCGCACTGCTCACGGATCATTCAGGAGGCTGCGGCGAGAGTGCTTGCACGGGTGGAGAGCCGTTGACGGATTCTCGGCCGGTCTCGTGGCTCGGAAACTCGGGACAGAAAAGCTCGCACGGAACTCTCGTGCGTCTTCGCGGGGGATAATGAATTGATACGTACTCGCCCCAGTTATCGCAACGGGCCTCGATTCTCGCCCTCTGCTCCGACTCGCTTCGCCCCCCACCCACCGCGACCATAGTAGCGGTGGGCAGTGTGGCACTGAACGGGGAGTTGTACCAGTACGGGTTGCCGTCCAAGAAGCCCTGAAGCCGGATGTCGCCTCCCCTGTCCAGGGGCGGTCTGGGAGGAACCATGTACCTGCGGATGTTGCCGAAGACGACTTCGTCGCGGCCCCTGAACAGCCAGACCCCTTGGTGATCCTCGTCCAGCGTCAGCCCGTAGAGCTCGACCCCGAAGATGAACCGGTTGCCGGGAGGGTCGTCCGCGTGGTGGTGGTGAGCGTCGATATCGCCGATCCGGAGATGCCCGGGGTCCTTCAGCTGGCCGAAGCGGAGCAGCAGGTCGCCGGGGCACAGGCGCACCCAGCCCTCGCGCCGATCCGAGGCCGGGAGCATCCCGTACTTGAGGAAGGGATGCACATTGTGCCGAAGGTCCCGGCGGATGACCACATCGCCCGTCATGATTTCGAAGTCCGCCATGGGGATGGGCGTGTGGATGTCCAATTCCTCGCTGCTGAACGATTCGAACTCCGGCATTCCCGTTTCCGCGCCGTAATCGATCCCCGTCCGGTCGTGCCGGATGTAGGTCGTTCCGTCCGATGCCCGCGGGTGCCGAGAATACAGCTCGACCACCGGATTCCATACCCAGACCCACGCCTCCTCCGCTTCCTGGTCCGGGTTCGGGGCCCAGTGGCCGAACCGGAACACCAGCGGGCGAGACGACTCGCCCAGGGGCACCGGTAAGTCGCCGAAACACATCTTCCCGGGGTCCAGCCACGCTGCTCTCCCCGCCTCGAGGTTCGGCGGAGGGCCTCCGAAGGAGGTCGGCCCGGTCTCGGGAACGCGGGTGGGCGGGTAGAGGGTGATGAGCCTCTCGGGCTTGTCCAGGCTGGTGGCGGGGTTCTGGTAGAACTTGACATAGCCGCCGCGCTCGGTGCCGGGGTCGTAATTTGAGAACTCCTCGTCGATGGAGATCATGATGTCTGCGGGCTGAGGAACGCCGTAGGCGATCGGGAGCTTCAAGTCGGAGTCCGGGTCGGCGAAGTCGTATCGGAAAGAATCAGCGCACATGAACGTCCAGTAGCTGTCTCCGCCGTCGGAGTCGGCTTGGGTGAAAATAAATGCATAAATTTCCAAGCGAGTGTTGTATCTGGCGGCGGTGACTCGCGGCCCATCTGGTTCTATGGGGCGGCCTTTGGTTTTGATGAGTATGTCTCCCGATTTGAGCATGTCCATCCTCGAGTCTAGAGTTACAATGCCTATGCCTAACAGCCTTGACCACCCAGGGCTGGGAACGCCGGGGGGTCCTGGCCTGCAGTGCCGCACCAACAAATCGCCGAGACTCCATCCTACTTGACTCGTGGTGAACCTAAAGCTTTGAGCACGACATCGAACTGTACCCAGTGGTGGTAGATAAATACCGACCGGATATGTATTCTCGCAAATTGCATTCAATCTGACAAACGGACCGTACCGGTGATATCCAGGCCAGTATACGTACACAACGATGGTTTTATAATCTCTAAATTGGTAATTGTTTTCCCGTTTGAAACACCCGCGTCGGATCACGTGATCTCCGTTTCTGAAGTAGAGCCTTTGGAATTTCTGTCTTTCGATCGGGTTGCTACATCTCTCTGGCATCGAGAAATACATGTCTTTGTATAGTTCTGCAAAGTTCCACAGCGACATGACCTGATTGCTGAAGTGTTCATCGCCTAGATCTTCGTAGTCTAGCATTCTCCGGATTACGATGTCACCAGGTCGCGCCCAAAACTCTGTGTTCTGCCGGGGATGTACTTGAAAGGCGTGATTTCCAAACCGCGAGAAAAATTGGGTTTTTTCTTCCATTTTGATTAGTAGTTAGGAGCTGTGTCTGATTTCATGCAGATCGGTCGATCGATGGCTGAGTCAGAAAATTCACATTTTTTCTTCCCTCTGACTTAATGAAACAAAGGCGCCCAACTTTGCAGTAATTTTCATGAACGGGAGAAGAATATGTCTGAAACTTGGACCTTTTTGGCTTCCATAAACTTGTTCAGTCGCTGCATCTAGAGCTCCACATTTCTCGTCACGACCATCGGAAGTACGAAATCCGTCCCATGCAAGAAATCGGACACGTTCCAGTGTCTTGCATTAGTGCGAGATGAGGCTTCGACTCTGATTTCTGTGAAGCGAAAAACCTTTGAAGTCTGGAGTACCAAAGGGTGTTGTGGGGACAGAGCAACAGCTTCTCCCGCTCGTTCGAAGTGATTCCAGGAGAAAATTGTTCTAGTCTTGAGTGGTCAAATCTACCCTTCACAAAAATCTTCTTCCATAATTATGGATTTTTTATTTTTTTTTTATTGTGGAGCATCCATTTGGAGGACATCTCATTGGGCTCATCACGATCACTGCAGGCAGGCCCAGGCTACACGAGTGGGTTGGTTTACCGTCCATTTCGTTTGAGTTGTTCGAGGAAACTCCAAAAAGAACGTGAACAGCACGATAGAATTTCTTGCGAGCACAATCACGAGGCAATGGAGCTTCGGAACCTTACCTCATGAATTCAAATTCGTGCAGTAAGAGCTACTGTTATCATGCGCTGTCCTTGTCGTTCTAATATATTCAAACACGTTCGGCCATAAACCTGGTCTTCACGATAACATGCCGGATGCATCAACGATTTAATCATCGCCTTCGTCTGCCCTCATAGTTCTCTGTTCAGAAGCCTTCGACCGCAGGAATCAGAGTGTTCTTGCCTTGAAGAATCGATATATCGACCTGTTGGGTCAATCGACGTGACCTTTGGCTGAATGTAGCAATTGATTCTCCAAAGTCCTGACAATGAAATGGACGAATATGCACAATACTACCGTGAAATCTACATATTTTACTAGTACAAATTTCAACTGCGGATTGGTTGCAGATCAGATGCTCCAACAAGCCTCCAATTACAATGGGAATTAATAAGTGCAAACGATTTGAGGTGCAAAGGTCAAGAGTTTGACTTTCGGAAGTAAATATGCGATAATTAGCTCGTCGTCAGGACGGGCCCCATTGGTGTCGTTCATGGGACCTCTACATGTTGTTCCCTTAGGAGGGTAAATGTGATCCTGGTAGAAACTGCATCCACTCGACTCCGTCATGCATGATCTCCATGATCACTGTCGTCTAAATGTATCATGCTGATCTATACACTTTAATAAACGATGAAGGTAAGCTCATATTTTTCCGCTTCTCCAATGCTCGTTTCTGGTACTTGCATCCAAAGCGCATGGACTTTGTTCGTCAGTTGATTGAAACGATATCTAGTCATATTTACGATATTTACGTGACCGTGCATTTACCTTGTTCTCAGTTCCCGGTGTGTACTCGTTGATGGATGCAATATGCACGAATTCTCTTAGCGATCGAACATTCAGTAAACAATGAAGACTCAACGAAATGGGGACATTCTAGCCAACTTCCCGTGGGTGGCTGAAGCTCGTGGTTCTCACAGCTCATACCTACTCGCTGAACCTCCTCGTGTCGTTAATCCTCCCCCTGCTCCTGGGCCCCAGCCAGAGCTAGAGGCAGAGTCAGGGTCAGTTCCTGAGTCATTCCCTGATTACATTTCAACAAACTACGTTCACTGCGATCAGGAGTCAGTTACATTCTGGCCGCATCCGGGCGACATCATTCTGCGTGCATACGCCGAGCCATCACAGGTCGTCGCTCTACAGAGAGTGGTTCAACTCTACAAGGATTGCCTTTTCTCCAATGTGCTCCTGACTCCCAACGTTGAGACGAGGAACATGTTTAACAGCCTCGTGTTCCGCAAGGGAGACCACATTCTCCGACTGGGAGGATTTTACGAATATGATACGATTCACAGAACATCACAGCTCTCGTGGACATGGATTGAGTACAGCAACGCGTGCGTGTGGATCTACTGGCCCGGGTTCCATGATATCAGTCCCTGGGTAAGACTGACATCCAGCTCGCCCATTCAGCGAGTGGTTCGTCCACTCCCTCTGCCTTCATTAAAACCCAGAGCTCGCCCACTGCTGTCCCAGAAATTGTTCATACGGGGAGAAGGGTCAGACGGTTGGGAAACCAGCGACATCATCATCCGAGGCTTCGATCCTGGACCTGAGAGTCCCAAGAATCCAGGGTGGAAGAAGCTTTATGGGGTGAGACAACTTCAGAATGAGCGCTGCCCAGATTACAAAAAACTAATCGAGGGCGACTTGCTGGTGCGATTGAAATGCGCTATGCGTGGCCCCATGGCGCGACTCGAACTCAATTGCTATCGTTTTCTAGGAATCGCAGAGATGAAGGTCATGTTCATGGGTACCGATTCTTTCGAGTTCGTTTTCAACGAGTACGAGCTTCTTCCCACCGGACCTTCACCCCGGCTGGGATTCGAGGTCCCTGAATTCACTGACGTCCCCCAACCCGGTGACATCCTTCTGTCGTTCGACGAGGAATTCCGTCCCTTTGACGCAGAATGTAAACTGGGAGGATTCGTGCAGCTGTACCAGCTGCAGCAGCCGCTGCGTTCCGTCGCTCAAGCAGGCAATCCCATGGTCCTACGCTGCGGATATTTCAAAAGCCGTCCCGTTCCCCTGTCGACGTCCTCAAGAAAAAGTGGGACGGTGAACGGGATGGACTGGGAGTGGGTCTATGGTGAGAAGTTTCGGATCTTCACCCGCCATCCGAGACATTCGGATGGGAAGACATGGATGCTGCAAGCCCAAATGGACAAACCTCTCCGCTTCGAAAGATTTCCACCTTACGTCCTCTACGAAGAAACTCTAGAGCAGCAAAACGTCGTTGTCCCGAACATGGAACTCAACTTCATGTCCGATCTCGTGATTCGTGCAGACAGTAGCAACAGTGGCAGCTACGAGACCTCCTCCTACAACTACTTGCAGATCTTCCCAAAAGGTCTGGAAGACCTGAAGCCCGGAGACTTGCTGGTCCGGACACGGCCCTTCGTGGACACAGAGAAAACCCCGGGCTCTGTGACTCTAATGGTCGAGCTGTATGCCCTCATTCTGGATGACCAGAACAAGCCGGTAATAATATTCCGTGGTCGGGACCAGGTTCACTACGGTAGAATTCCTCCGAGTCCACTTGTTACCAAGAGGCAGAGCGTTAAGTCCCCACGCACTTGGCCCATCACAGAAGGCGACGAGTACACCCCTTCGAGCCGAACAAGTGGCTTCACTCCCCACGTGTCCCCTTCTCCTCCTCCCAAACCAGCACCACAAACCGTCAGCTTGAACTCAGCAGCCCCGAAGTAAGACTCGTCAGTTGAGGAGATTCTTCTTTCAATTCTTCCATCGTACCTTTCCTCTCGGTATCTATTGCGTTGTGCTCTTTTATTTTTTTTGCAATTGTACTAAAAAAGGTCCGACGTTGGACGCATACGGCCCCTTTATACATTTCGGAAAAGGCTAGCTTCAACTGCTACGGGGGTTCTTGAACTGAGAACTTTCTGCGGTGGCGACACAAGTTTGGCCGACGGGCATCTCGATCCCGCCTGCATGCGAAACTTCCTCGTCGACACGGATTGTCATGTATCATGATCAGCTCCTGTCTGGTTTCACGACAGTTATGTTCCGAGCACACGTGGTTCTCGATCGGATCTTGGATCATAGCCCACCACAAGATGTACCCTGCCTAGCCTGACCGTTTCAGATTTTTTGTGACTCTACGAAATCAGCTCAAATTTCTGATTCAGTAATCCTGGTAAAGATGTATAATCTGTAAATTACATCGTACCGAACTCCCAACATTTCACTTCCGGTACATAGCTTCTTCTCTGCTATAAGGACCAAAAGTTTGCTCCTGCGGAATTTTCGACCTCCCTTTCGAAGACTTGAGAGCTTTTCTGCCTGAAGATATACAACGTGCGAAATTAATTTTGCACGTTGTTTTACCATTATTGTAGCAGTCAACATTCACATGATTAGCAGTCGAGAATCAAAACCAACTGCCATTTCAGAAGTTCCTGAATCTCAAATATCAACTGACTATGCAACCTATTTTACATGAGTGAAGAATAATGGCAGCTGGGGCGTAACGTTGAATCTTTTTTTACGTTTCCACCAATACCGGGGGCCGATACGCCCCAACCAATACCACCAGCCCCAAACTGAATTCTTTCTCCTTTTGTGAGATTGCTGATCCGGAATTCTACCAATCGAGTATCATCATTTTCAAAATATACTAATATCTTGGTGAGATAGAAGATACCCGTCGTGAACGAGAATATTGCAATTTTAACTTCTGATCTGTATTCACAAGTCTGGTCCAAGAAAAGGTGCAGTTTGTTACCTATGAGGAGATTCCACTAGAAAGAAGTGTAAGTCATTTTTACTTTTGGCATCTTAGGGTGTTTTTACAAGCGAATTTATAAAAGAACTTGGACGAGTATATCGGGTCTGCAACTAGAATCTGGAGGTAAGGTCGGAAGGAGAAGGCTGTGATCACATCCCACACTACTAGGTTCAGGTCTCATTCGCTCTGAGTGAGGTCCTTGTTGTCTTTCTCCAGTCAGTCAACAGTTAGATGTTCTTCTTACATGCTTGATATGAATCAAGCCTTCAAAACGACTCCTTTGGAATCGATTTGTGGATCCACTCTGTCCATGCGCTCAGCAGGAGCAACAGAGACGTCAAGTGTAAGAAAGTGAACCGAAAGTTACTTCCAGAATGAACTCCCTCCAGTTTATTTAGTTGTAAACCTTGAGATTGAGAGACATTGTAGTCTGCATTGTGGAAATAATACTTCAAAACATTTTGATCAAGAGGTTTGGAAGATCGACTACCACCCACCACGCTATCCCCAAGCACTCTGGTGCCAGATTCCGGCGTTTCCTGAACAGGCACAGCACAATCAGGATGGGCAGTCATGGACTCGGTCGCGTGTAAGGATACGACAAGCCCAAGCAACTTGGTGGCACCTCTGATCTACTCCAAGTTTCGCATCAAAGGGTCGAGGAAATAAATTTTACGTCCATAGGTACCCAAAAAGAACTCCTGAAAGAGGTTCATGTGATCTGAGCACTATTATAATGCATTTCCATCTCTGGCTCCGACCGTTCGGCCTCACTTGGGACGTGTAGATGTAGAAGCCATGAGTGTGAGTTCGTCAATGAGCATGACACAACACTGTGAACGCTGAGAGCTGAGAGTTCAGACTTCACGCTTTGCAGACTGGCCTAGTTGTATATCCAATCCTTATGCAATGATGAGTCTTCTCGACTATCCATGTCACTGGACTCTGACTATGATAACATGACGTGTGCTGATCACCGATTGCGGGCTGGCCAGTGCAGCCCAGGTGTCCATGAACCACTGTCCGCGGACTTGAGAAATTTATTTCCTATGAGTACGAGCATCGCATGGAAAGAACGTTAATGTGAACAGCCAACACGAGCCAAACGAGGAGCAACAGAGTAAAGAAAGAGACTCTCCCTTTCGACAGTCGAATTGTGCTGTGAACAGTGATAGGTCCTGCAACAGACAAGCCGCAGGCCTCTGTGTCTATTGCGATCTAGTTCGTTGTGGAATCCCAAGTCCCGCGCCAACGACAGATGTTCTTCAGAGCGAAAGGTGGGCCATGGGCTAGACTATTCCAGTAAATTCCTTAAAACTCAGCAGACAACAAAATAATTCAAGATTCCCCTCTGCCTGGCTCTGCTCAGCTTTGACCTTAACAATCAAGCAGGAAAGGATTCCAAATTCTCGTAGAGAATATTCCTGTAATGACATCGTAGCTTCCTACTGCCCCAGAGAATTTGCAAAGCCAGCTCCGACTGCACAAGATGAATACGCGGTGCCCTCGTAGTTGCTTTGATGTCAAAGAGTTTGAAGCTCGTGGAAGCAGCCCGGTGCTAGTGCCACTGTGGAACAGTGGAGCAGTGCATCTTGAGACCAGTGAAGGCGTCATACCTTTAGAATAGAAATATTTAGATTAATGAGCGATGCAGCAGAAGGTGCGTTTGCCACATCGACATACCTGAGTGGAAATGCACGTGGACTGGCCTGAAGAAGGGAAGCAGGGAATCCTGGAACCTTGATAGCAGCTGCTAGCCTCGTCGAAATTCCAAAAAGGGGAGATATCAGGAAACAGAAGGGGAGAGGGAGAGAGAGATCTGTGGAGAGAAGATCAGGCTGCGTCGGTCACACATAAGCACGGACAGGAGGAGGGGCGGAGGAGAGAAAGAGACCTGCTAAGTCACGGCACAGCAGGTCAGTTAGGTGGAAGGCATGCGATAAAGGCTAAAAAAGGAGAAGCAACGAATTCGACGAGAACCGGAAGCTCCTTAGCATGGACCGTCGTCTCCTTAGCAGCCGAAACTGTCGAGCATGTGAGGGTCGAGCAAGAAATGGCAAGGGAGTCACCATCCAATAAGAGAAACCGTCAGCTCCTTATAATGGACCGATGTCTCCCTAGAATCTGCACAATAGATGGACTCCGCACTCACGGCTGCAGTCACTCCTCGGGTCCCATGCTGCGATCGTGTTTCCGAGCCCTCATTGCGTGGAGAGATGACAGTCTGCAGCCTAGAGCATCTAGTGCTGCGGTGGACAGCCTGCTTCTGTGCATGTATCATGTCCCAATCCACCTTCTCCGAACCCTAGCTCGTGCTCAATCACCACTATATAAACTTGCAGCCGCAGGCAAAGGTTGAACCAGTTGTGATCTTGTTGTAATACTTGTCGAGAGCCCTCTGCTGCACATTCCAGCGCCAGGCAAATCAAGCTCTCCTTAGGCACTCGTGATTTCCGTGGGAATGGGCAAAACCAACACTGCTGCTGCTGCTGCGCCTGCTGCTGCTCCTTCCAAGCTTCAACCCGCTGCTGCCGACCTCAGCTCCAAGTTCCCCAAAGAATGGAGCGTACGAGTGAACTCCAGAGCCGTAGGTAGCACGAACCCGATTCGCACTATCACGGATGCCATCAAAATTGATAAAAGTTCCGGCAAGTCTTTCATTTCGCTTGCTCTTGGCGACCCTGCCGCATGTGGCAACCACATGAGAGTCCCAGATTCTGCTGTCTCATCTCTCGTAGAGGTCGCCCAAGGCTGCAAGCACAATGGCTATGCTGTCTCAAGCGGACTCCCTGAATGCCGAAGGTGACCTCTTGCCCCAAATTACGATTTTCACGATGCACTGGGCTATTAAACATACACATGTATCCTGAGTTTGCTACCGTATGGCTTCAATGACTCTACATGAAGTTTTGGAATCAATTCTAAGCACAAATTTCTGTACTGACGTTTAGTCGAGTCATTTCACGTGCAATTGTTGCTGACACATCGTCTGGGATCTTTATCATATTACAGGGCTGTGGCTGATTATCTTTCAGAAAACCTGCCGTTTCAGCTGTCGGAGGAGGATGTGATCATGACTTCTGGATGTAACCAGGCGCTTCAGGTTTGCTTCGACGTGCTTGCCTCTGATGGATGTAATATATTGGTGCCAAGGCCGGGGTTTCCAATGTACGAGACTTACTGCACCTACTTGGGAGTGGAGACTCGAGGGTACAACCTTCTGCAAGAGCAAGACTGGGAAATCGACCTCGACCACTTGGTGAAATTGGCGGACAGCCGTACAGCTGCTATCGTGGTGGCGAATCCAGGCAATCCATGTGGGTCGGTCTACAGCTATCAGCACGTTGCACAGGTTCGCACTGCTGGCTTTGCTTTATTCATCGGATGATTGTCCTTGCGTGCTAGCCTTCTGTGGAATAGAACTGACGAGCGTGCGCGTTTGAACAGATTGCCAAAATTGCTGAAAAGCTCAGGATTCCGATCATTGCCGACGAAGTGTACGCTCACATGGCCTTCAGCGGTCATACTTTCGTCCCCATGGCGGAGTTCTCCCTCAGCGTCCCTGTTCTCACCGTGGGAGCTGTCTCCAAGAGATGGCTCGCTCCAGGCTGGCGCCTCGGATGGATTGCAGTCTGTGATCCCCATGGTATTCTGACCAAAGCCAAGGTGAGTCCACCTCATGTGCCTCTGGACCTGGTTGTCTACCACCAACTTGTCTACTTTTCACAACAAAGTTTCATTCGTGCAGAGGCTGGCGTGTTCCGAATCTTCGACATCTCTATTTTTAAAGAATATTTTTAAAATCTATTGCGCAGGTAATGGACGGCATGCAGAGATTGATGCAAATCAGACTAGGACCTTCAACCCTCATGCAGGTACATAACTAAACTTTGTGAAGATTTGGTCTTCTCGAATTGTTGTCCACTTGCTGTCATCTCCACAAGGGAATTTAGGAATCCGTACTAACTTTCGATCCCGGATTAATTTTGGATCTCATCTCAGGGGGCCTTCGCGGAATTACTTCGGAGTACGCCGCAATCATTCTACGAAAACTCGCTGAAATCATTGGAAGCAGGGGCTGATCTTTGCTACCAACGCGTCAAGAAAATCCCGGGGCTGGATTGTCCTAACAAGCCCAAAGGTTCTATGTTCATGATGGTACGTGGATTGCAACAAGAACATGCATGCGCACTCAATAATTGCAAAATCGATCTCGTCGGTGAATTTTGTCCGAAGCTTCTATAATGGTTGAATGAATTCACGTTACTTGGCGTCTGCAGGTGAGATTAAATCCAGAGGTGCTGGATGGGATAGACGATGATGTTGGATTCTCAAGGGCGCTAGTCCAAGAAGAATCTGTGCTAGTGCTACCAGGTAACCAAATCCCACCTTCCGGAATCGCTGTTCGAAGAATATTGCTTTCTATTCATAACCAATCAATGCACTCTTGGAGGCAAGAGTTGAGCTCGAGATTCTAAAATATGACCATAATTGTCTCCATATCCTGCCCTCAAACTCAATCACTAACACTGCCCGACTGACTGACAAGTACAGGGTCTGCATTCAGAGTATCGAACTGGTTCCGGATTGTATTTGCACTCCCGTTGCCAGAAATGAGCGAAGCATGGGACCGCATCGAAGCGTTCTGCAACAGACACCAAAAACCCGCCCATGCAAACGGAACGCTCTATTGAAGGATATTGAGTATTCTCTCCCAATCTAAGGAATGTGTAAATACGTCCACGTGTACAGGGGCAATAGATTGAAAATCGCCCGGATATCTCCATAGTCAGAGCCACATAATGGCTTCACATGTAAAATTTCATCCGAATGAAATACCCTAAATCGAGCAGAGAGCTCCCCATCTTAATTTTGACACATTATGTATAGACTAAGACAGAGTAGTCAAGAGACTGGTTATGTCTCCTTACAATGTACAATACTAGCTGAGACAAGCTTATATAAACATCGTTGAGTATCTTCTTCGATACACATGCAAACCAAAATGTTAAAACGCGAGATTCGTTTCTTTTTCTGACTTCTCTTGGAATTGGTGGATCGAAATCTTTCAGATGTTGTTGTTGCGCCTGACCAACAACTAGAGTAGGCGAATTGATCTTTCGCGATCCAGCGTTGGAATGTGCAAAGACCGAAGAGTGAGGAGAATCAGTGGACAATAATGCCGTGTGATACCACAATAAAGGCCGTTCTTGCATGACCTCGTTCCGCCTGCAAGCCCTGGAGTCAAGTCCAGTCTCTGCCGGACCTACATCGAGTTTCTGATCTAGGTTCAGCGTTGTCGTGAGTTCGAGCATTGTGGCAGTCGAGAAAAAAGAGAGAAAGAGAAGTTTCAGAATTCAAGCGCCTGATCTCGAAATTTGTTGAAATTAGACTCACCATTCCCTTCATTGGTCTTCCTTCCAGCCAATATCAAATTTGAAGTTGTGTGAAGACCTTGAAGTTCTCATGTGATCTGATTTTGGCCAAATGTCATCCAAATTAGAAGAAGATATGATATGAAACCGTGGGGAGAACTATACTGAGCACGTGCGATTGACTTGGTTAACCGTGTAGACTATTATATCTCACTCTCAGGTAAATGTGATCCAGCCGTCAGCATGAGGATCAGATGACTCGTCTCCTCCAAGCACTGTCTTTTGACATCTTCTCGTGTTGTCCCAATCATGATAGATGCCAACAAATGTGTCTCTTGCCTAAGAAGATGAATTATTCAACTTCTGAGATGAGTGATAAGATAACTAAAAGTATGCAAAGACTCGTCAGATCCTCACGGGATGAAACCAAGTTGGTATAGTGGACTAGGCCCAATAGAGTCAGATGTGCTTTACGTGTCATTGCAACTAGAATATCACACTTACCTAGATCAACTCTGTATTAAATCCGAATGTTTAAATAAATATCGCATGTTGCGATTGTTCTCATCAAAATCAAATTTTTCTTTTTTTTAAATCATTTCATTAGATCTCCTTATCATATGAATCTCTGAATTTCTTTTCTTGTCCGTGCGAATATCTAGAAATATTGCATCAATAAGAATAAGTCGTTAGATTTTGGAACAATATATATGAGTACATTTATTTTAGTACGTAGGAAATTAGTAAGATTCTTTGAATCTAAAAAAGGAAGCTAATCAATATCGATAAGGACTTTTTTTTTAGAATTATCAATGGCACCTCTCTTTAAGAGTCTAGTATTTGCAATACTTCAGCTTGCAAAGATCACCCCCTCAAATTTTATTTTTTGGATATGATTTCATCGATTTGAATTTATAAATAAATAAACTTACTATAAATCGAGCGATTCATTGCCAATTATTGAAATTCAAACATTCTTTGAAAATAAATATTAACAGAATATACATCCTAAATTACTGTTAATAGAGATTGATTGATTTTAAAATTATGTTCCAAGGTAGAATTAACAGAAGAGATCAAATCAAGATTTTCCGAATATTAATAAATATCATACTGAAATTCAATATTTAACTATACACCTCTTTTTATCTGGAAAATCGATATATTTTGCTAACTGTCCATATGGAAAAAAATTTCTAGAGAAATTTTTTTTTTACGATTCTTCTCACGAAAGTCCAATAGCTTAGTCATCCACTGAGTAAGTGATTTACTTTTAGTGATGGGCAAGTAATCAACAGTGAGAAATAAGTCAACAGAAATTGTGAAATGCAACACCTGAAGCTCATTTGTTTTGTCGCTACTAGAAGCATTCTTTCCTACTCTGGATTGGACAACCTATAATCCGGCTGTTGTTAAAAATACATCCACCCTCAGACTAATCAATATGCTAAGATATCAGGGCAGGCTGGACCACCCACGTTTTGGCCCTGTTTCTTTTGCTCCCTATATGACTATCAAGCCGATGACGATTTTACGGCTGAATTCCATCTTTCCAAAGTATATGTACTGGCTGATCTGGTCAATTTTTATGTCGAATGCTGAGCTTAACTTATCGGACAATCATGTTTTAAATCATTGGACAATTGACTACCTTTTTTGTGACGAAAAGTTAATGCATAGTATGGAACTTTATTCCGTCAAAGAGACTTCGAGGATAATTAGATCTCATACATTCTCGATGCCATGACTTCAGCATTTGCCTTCAATGATACACCTATTGACAAGCCGACACACCTGAAATGTTTATACACGTAACCTTCTACAGAGTCAACTCTTGCAACGGATCACCTTAATAAGACTAATTTAGCTATTTTCGGTCATCTGCCTAAAACAAGAATCGAAGTCTTTTTCACAAATCGAGGGAAAGGTATATTAATATCTGTATTTCACGCACACCTACTGCTTGACAGACATTCTTGCGCAGGCTTTCAAAAGACGAAAGGAAAGTTCTGATGTCAATGAAAAAGTTGCCCCAGGTTAAAGACGGCAGTCTTGTAGCATACGACATTTATTCATTTGCAAAGAGTAAGCAGAGGTCATGAAAACTCTAACAGAGGAAGCGTACATCAATCAACAGTACAAACCAGCGCATACAATGTATATAAGGGCTGGCAGTCAGGTTTTTTGCAATCAGGTTTAAAAAGGTCTTTTTTTAAAACACCTGTATTTATTTATTGGCATGAAATCGAGGTTTAAATCTATTATTAGTCGCGGACTCCGCTGCCGGCCCTCGTCACTAAGGGCTCCTCAAAAATGAGGGAACGCGACCTCTGCCCGCAGCCCGACCCCCCCTCCTCACCCGAGCCCACATCCCGACCCCCTCCCCCCGCAACCAGACACCCTGCCCCGCAGCCCGACCTCCCGGTTACTAGTTATTAGTTGTGGAGACCCTCCCGCTTTAGCTCGCCCATCGGGCTCTTTCTCTCGCGGCCTCCCTTCCCCGCACGGAACTTGTACTTCGTAGTTTTTTCCTGCCCCATGCCCCAATTCTCCTCCCATTTGCGAGGGGAGGAGAAATGGAGTAGCATGTTTGGGGCTTCCATTCTTCTTCCCCCAAAAAACAACTAGGTCTTTTTATTTCTAAAGCTTTAGTTTCTAAGGAAATTATTTCTCTTCAATTTTTATATTTAAGTAAATCTATTCAACATGATGGAGAATCACAAGAGAAGGTTTTGAAAGATTTCACAAAAGCAAAATTATAAAGTGATAACAAGATAAATGAAAAAACTCAAATCATAAATTTTATTTCACAAAAATCTCATGGTCACAATTTTTGCAAAAAATAGAATTTCCTCCTCTGCAAAAAAGGAATCTGATAAGCTGATAATCCGAATCGTGCTCTTTTCCCCACATAAAGTTAGGTAACGTCTTGACGAACGTCTTAAATATCGACGATTATATCCACTCTGGAGAAGACTCGCCCGTAATAATTAAGTTGGCAGCTACCTGAGGCGGAAAAAACACACTCAATACTCTCATTCTCTGAACTTACATGGCCAGACGAAGGACATAATTCTCAACACCATTGTTGGGCTCGATTGTTATTGCCAGCGTTTTTCATTAAAAGTTTGATTTTTCCGATTTACTGCTTGAAAGCAGCGCCTGCCTGCGTCTAATTTTTCCAACCAAATCTCCAAAATGGAAGACATGACATGCCTCGCAATACATTTGTCGTTCGCAGTTCTCTTCAAACGTGGGACAGAATCAGAAGGGGCTAAACTATTTAATAAAATTTAATGTAATTTAGCGTGAAGGACTCGGTGACTGGCATTGGCAGAACAGTGGACGCAGACATTTTGCGAAGGGACGGGAAAGGGAAAGTGGAGTGATCGGGAGGCGGCCATCCCTAGTCGGGCTGGGGGGAAGGGGGGATGGGGGGATGGGGTCGGAGGCGGGGAGGTCGGGCTGCGGGCAGAAAGCCCGGGCGGGCAGAGCTCGCGTTCCCTCATTTTTGAGGAGCCCTGAGTGACGAGGGCTGCCGGCTGTTGCAAGGCAGAGAGATACCTTACTAGTGTGGTTTTGAGTGTAGGAATGATTGAAATGGAACCTATCAAAGTCCTTGTAAAATTAGAAAATGACGAAAACCAACCTGCACCCAAGAAACGAGGACGAAAGCCCAGAATTATTTTCGATAAAATTTGGGTTTTTTTTCACCCCTGTTCTGTACTGTTTAGTTACTAACAGTCTAATATAATAGATTAAATGAAAAACAAATATATAAATATCTACCAGTTTTACGAAACTGGTAGATATTAAAAACAGTGTTTAAATCAAGTTTTTTAAATTAACCGAAATTAATTTTGATAAAAATCGGGTTTTTTCCACCCCTGATGTATATGTCTTTGTCTAGTCTATTCCCGTATTAAGAATTGGACTAAGACTTGAAGTTCACGAAGTCATACTGGCGAGTGACCTTTGTGCAGAGAAGAGCTACGAAATCCACCTATCAAAACACACTGAAAGCTCTTTCTTATCGTTGTTTACGCCACGCTCCTGTACTTTCGAGATGTGCATGTCAACTCGAAACTTCGTGTGATGAGACCATAAATGCCTGGGCATGGCTCTTCCTGGAAAGAGGAGAATGTCAAATCGTCTTTTAAAAAGCATCAGCGTAGAAGTTTGGATACCCAACCTTGACATGCAGTCGCACCGAAGGATGTCTCTGAGCCTGAAGATTCGTGAGGAAGAACCTGGCAGCCAGCTCTCACTTGAAGGATCGATTAGGATTGCAATTGTTTTACTCAAAGATCCCATTTCAGTCTGGATACTGCGGGAAAACTTGGGATTCCCACATAGTTTCGAATGTCGTTTCACATCTGGATGATTGTAGACGGAAAGGAGAGCTGCGAGAAGTAACCGAGGACCAAGGAACCAATTTCTATGATCTCTTGCTCATCTCTGAGCTGTAATTCTGAAATTTGCACCGATTCTACTAAAAAAGTTGCTATTTTTGTCAGCACTGGCAGGCACATAGACAGCTGGGTGAGGGATTGGCTCGGAGCACGCAACGACTTTTGGAACAACTGGAGAGCTCGGTCTTTGGATATCTAACATTATCAGGTCCGTTTGCGTTGGCCGCTGGAGTTTCCAGATCTTCAATCATTGTCCTTACATACAGCTATAACTGATGCTGTGCGGGTCTTAAAAGTGTGCAGACATCGGAAACAAGCAACCTGCCGATGCACTCATCTCATCCCATCTCATTTCACGTCCTGGCAAAGAATGCCCAGGTAATTGAAGACCACAACAGCGACGCTACAGGGGCCATGGCTCGTGTCGTATGCTGGCCTGGGCCGGCCACACGAGAGAGAAAGAGCCTCAGCAGTTCTCAAGCTTTGGGAAGCTCCTGTACGATGCGAGGCCAAGCCAAAGCACTTAGCTGATCCAAAAACCGAGATCCCAAGATCCTCCGCGTAGTTCGGATTTGGAGCATTTTGGAGGCGTTTCTTGTACAGTATACGATCTACGTGTTGTGAGATGATGGACTGAGTCGGACGCTCATCAGGCGCCAAATTTGGGACTCACAGTCGCCAAGCTTGTCAGCCGCTTCCAGCTGGCCCGGATGTCACACAGTCCCGTGAGGTTGACTTGACCACCATAGCTCGAGTAATGTATTACACTCTAAGTTCGTGCGGTATGAATCCGGCATTTTGGCGTCCTTCTGGGTCCGATGGGGTCTACCAGCTGCCCGAGGGTGGACCGAACTTCACCCCCGAATAGCTAAATCGAAGTCGAAGTTAGAGTCGAGGCACATGGTTTAAGTCGAGGTCACCTGGCGGAGCGGAACTGATCCCCCTGCGATCCAGAATTCCATGCCACAAGCGGCTCAGAAGGCCCTCCAGAAAACAGTGCTCCACGTTAAATAATATCTAATCGCAAGGCGCCGGATCCACTGCATTGGCACGTCTTCCCATTTCTAGCTCGCCGGGTAGCGCAGTGGGGAAGAGTCCGGGACTTCATCATCTGAGAAACATCAGAAGCTGACCCTACAGCTCATGGGCTTCGAGCTCTTGCATCATCCGAGCCCGTGCATCCACAACTGCAGCTGCGCTGTGGACCAGAGCGAGTCGTAGCCTTAGCCTTAGCCTTAGTGCAAAGCAAGCTTCGCCTGCACTGCACTGCACTGCACCGCGCTGCGCAACAAGCCTCGCTCGAGCTCACCACCTTACGATCCGCCCTCGGAGCTACAGAACTTGCCGTAACCGGAGTTCCTGTCCTCCGAATCTTACACCGACGCCAGTAGACTCGCTGCCTTTCTTCGCAGTCGTAAGTTCAACGCTAGCTTTAGCTCGGCGCAGCATGTCGCCGCATGATGAGCTGTAACGGAGCATCCATCTTCAGCCCGGCCCGAAACAGTGAGGAGTCGGGCTGCGATCTGGCGCCATCCCGATCGATCGCCTTCACTGGGCAGTCGGGCCTGCGCTTTTCACCCCGCCCCTCTAAATGGCCACCCGGTTATAAGATGTTTACTGCATTCGAAGGCCCTGAGGTCTGACCAACGATCTGTACATTACATAAGTCGAACCTCCAGGGAAGGAGTGATTCCAATCCCTGAAACATCTAAAGGTAAAGTTCTCGGCTCCAGTTCGGCCCATCTAGTCAATCTCAGACCTGAGCTCTCATTGACTCGCAGGCTTTTGCGCACTCGCTTGACAAAATCTAATGTAGCAACTGGTTAAGCCTGGATTTGGTGAGGAATGTGTATCGGAATGAGTGCAGGGCATTGCGAATGACATGTTTGTCTGTCTGCCTGTCTGTCCGACTGTCTGGCTCGCTGGCTGGATGACTGACCGATTCGGCGCTCCGCTCGGAGCATGCACTGCAGGTTCCGATTCATAGAGAGGACTGGATTTGGTCGCTTGTGAAGCTTCGGCGGCTGAACTATTGCGGCCAGTGGCGTATTTGTGTTTGTGGGGTTCCCCGACACTTCATCTAATCTCTATTCGACCTTTCCCAGCCCGCGGGTCTAACAGACCGACGGCTGCAGTCCGCGCGAGATTCACCACGCCATCACCACCCGAGACATCGTCGTTCTTCTGACGAGCAAGGGACCCAGGCTTCAGGCTCACTTCTCCATTCTCTATCTGGCCACTCATCATCGCGAGCGAGAGACCCCATACACGAGGAACCCAATCGGGTCGCGTTGCAATAGGACTGGATTGCGGTGAAACTCTCGACAAGATTCCCCAGCTCGGCAGTTCGTCGACACGCACTGACTGCATTGCAATCGCAAGGATTAGAACGAATGGGGGAGGCTCCGCGAGGGCGGCCGGTACCGCGACCGAGACGAGAAGTGGCCGACATCGCGACGTCGGAAGATGAGCCCGAGAATGTTCGGGCTCATCGTCGCGCGGCGGTCGTGAAGCCTTCGAGCTCTGCGATCGACAGCGACTCCGACGAGGGCTCGGAAGAGAGCGACGACACCAAGTGCTCCGTGACGACACTGACAACCGTGACCACAGCGGCCGGGATGGAGAGCAGCGAGAGCAGCGAGGACGAAACCTTCCGAGCCGATGGATCAGCACTTGCAAATCCCCAGGGGAAGCTCTCTTTCTCCGGAAGAGGGTCGAAGGCATCCATGAGCAATCGCGGGGGCGGCTTGGTGAAATTGCAGGGACAGCAGCAGCGATCGCCGCCCAAGGAGACCGACGGCAAGAATAAGAAGGCGGCGCGCATCGCTGCCGGGCCCGGGGAGGCGCACGGCGACGACGATGAAGCGCGCAAAAAAACCAAAAGAAATTCGATCCGGGTCAAATCTTTGCACCGCGCGAAGATCGCCAAGGAGTATAGCACTAGCGAGAGCGAGGATGATGTTCCGGTGAGGCCATTGAGTAGTAGTCATAGTCATCATCTCGACACAATAACATCGAGCTCGATCCTGCACTCCACCTCGGGCAAATTTGCTGGCCCTCGAAGCCATGCTGTGGAGAAGGACGACAGGCATGCCTCGAGTGATAGCGACTCTAGTTCGATTGAATACGATAGCGACGACGAAGAAGATGAGCACAAGGACAAGAGAATGAGGATTCACTCGCGCGGGCCTTCGCTGCATGCCGTGCCAGCCCCGAAGCCTACCAGGGCGATCAAGTTCGCGTACGACGAGGAAATGATTCCGGCCCAGTTCTCGGGGAGAGATTATTCGAGATCCGATGCGGAAAGTCACGATGCGGATCATGAGCGGTGGGAAGAAGAAGAGGACGATTACGAAGACACGCGCGGGCGGAGATTGAGGGGGAGAAATCAGGGCAACAGCGCCTCGTTCTCGGGAGCAGTGTCGCGGAACTTTCGATGGTCGAACGTGAAGACCAAAATCTTCTACTCGTTTCGGGCCAAGGGGTCGGACGACGAGGGTAGCCGGGTCATCTGCGTCAAGAACCTGGCGCCGACTGTGAACGAGCAGATTCTGCTGGACTTCTTCGCGGGCATCGGAAGGGGGGCTATCGTGAACATCACCACGGACGAATTCGGACGCTGCTCGGGCACGGCCTACCTCGAGTTCGAATCGGCAGCCGCTGCGAGAAAAGCTCTGCAGAAGGGCGGCACCAAGCTTTTGGAGAGAGTCGTCTTCGTCGATGTGGCTCACGAGACGAGCACCACCCGACATACGGAGGCCCGAGCAGCCCCCGTCAAGCCTGCAGAGCCACCCCCGCCTGCCCCGACCGGCGGAGGCCTCGACATTCACTCCATATTCCCTCTCAGCTTGATCCCGTTCCACCGCGACAAAGACAGCGACGAATCCGTGCGAAAACGAGCCCACGAGAAATCGAACGAGAGTTTGCAGCCTCTGAAAGGAGCGAGGGGAGTATCGGGCTCAGGAGGGCCGACAAGCCCCAGGGATTCCAACATTGCCATCAACGAGCTATTGCCATCGGTCCACGACCCGGAGGAGTCCTCCCGTGGCAAGACGGCGCTTGGAGCGTTCAGACAGAAGCTATTCGGGTCGTCCAAGTCGGGGAGTGGTTCGAATTCTGAGAAAATCGCATCGCAGAATCAATCGCGGGGAGCTGAAACTCAGTCTCGGGGAATCGAGATCCAGTCTCGGGGGTTGGACTTCCTCCCGCGTGGATTCAATGCATCCCAGTCGGGTCCGAGTCCGGGTATGGTAATCGACGAAGCGCCGGGCGGTGGGTTTATGCCGCTACCCAGGGAGCACAACAAGAAGAAGAGGTGGTCGTGGGGACAGTTTCGTCGCAAGCACCGGTGGGCGAAATTGCTGTGGCCTTGGGGGAGGAAGCCCCGATGGCACTGGTGGCATTTCGCCAATCTCTCAGCGCGTTGGGGCAAGGCCAGCCGCAGCCCACAGGTCAAGACCATGGCTTCTCTTCCCCGTGAAGCTTCGACGGCGACTTCCAGCAACAACGAATCTTCTAACTGTAAATCTCCCCGTTCCCCTTGCGCCCCCCCTGCTGCTGCGCCTACGGCCCCCGTTCCCCTTGCGCTGTGATTAACACTCCACATTGTCTCTTGTATATTACGAAAAGTTCGTCGTTTTCTTTCGTGCGTATCCCCATTGGGGGAAGCCTCATGTTACAGGACACGGATCCAACAGTTTTGGATGGGGCTAGTTGGTGACGCCTAGATGATTCCTAAACCCTGTCATGGATTGATGCTAGAAATTTGCTCGATGATCATGACGTTTAGGTTGAGAGTAACGAAGTCTGAGCCCGCAGTTATCGGGCACGAACCGGAGAGCCACCGGGTTCCGTCTTTATCAGCCGAGATTTCGACGTGCCCGGTTCCCCCAAAGAACACGTCCAAGACAGGGTTCTTCGTTCCACCTGCCCTTGAAGTACTTAACCGGCTGTAACTTCGATTTAAGTACTTCAAACCTTGTAACCATAACTTTCTGGGAAAGATGATATTTGACGGTGTCTGTATGGAGGTCACCCAGAACCCAGGACTCTATGCACCTGATTCATATTGTACAAAGATTCTTCGGCATTTATATGCAAATAAGCAAGAAAGAAAAATACGAGTGTACACAATTTTGCGTACATTTATCTCTTATGTCTGTGCCAATGTCAGTATTCGTTTCGTTTTTTATTTACTTGTTTCCATGTTACTTCAATCTACGCAAGTTCGAAAGTAAGACATGACTGAATACAACGAGGCAACAGCTTTAACTCTTTAGAAGGAGTAATTCTACACGATTTTGGTCGCTTCATCCCCATCTATTATCATGCGCCCACCGTCTCTCAGGAGGTTGGATTTCGTAACCTTCAGTCGATGGATGGTTACTGGAAGTCTCCACATTGGAGTTGAATGAAAGCTCACGCGATGGCCAACTCGGGATGGATTCTGGTGAAAGCAAGGTCCTGTTATGCCAACGGATCATTATAGGTACAAGCCTCTTTCACAAGCACTGTTACCTTGTGTACTCCTATAACCATGAAAGGTTTTGATTGTTTGGATCCAATTTCCACATGCACTACCATGAATGTCACCTTCCTCTCGGTCGGCATTGTCTTGTCACTTGGTTCAATGTCTCGATTGGACCTTGGATCTCCACTGATGATTGACTGGGTTCAATCTTTCACAGTCGACACATTCTGGCATTGAATTTTCTTCGTGCTCCATTTCACCGTGTGGTATCTTTCTGAAAATTATGGATCATTCGGAGCACGTCATCTGGTTAGGCAGGTACTAACTTCCTCGAATGCATCGACATTAGCAGCATGCTTACTCAGCTGGTCGTTCGAGAACTCGTTGTCAGGTCGGCATCAGTAGCACCACGGTAAGATTCCCTGGAGAGTTATAGGGCTGCTAAGTAATGAGCAATGTATTAAGTTTCAAGTAAAACCCTCCCACACTCAAACTCTCATCACAATTGATAGGAAGACTGTTGGTCCAAAAAGCTCTAATGGCACAAGTTGCAGGCACCTAAAGCTTACTTACAGGATTCTGAAACTTACCGTGCAAAATCCATAACCTTCAGCTTGGCTTTGAAGTCATTGATTGTGGCAGCGAGACGTAACAATCCCAGAGTCTAGGAGACCAGAGAGAGAACTTCATAAACAATCATTCTCTTCAAAGGGGGAGGAAAGAGTCCAGTGCTGGTAAAGTGCCGAGTCCAGTGCTGTGAGCGGGCACTATCGATTGCCTTAGATCGAGCAATTGAGTACCGAAGTCAGGATCCCCTACGCTGGAAGCATGACAATGAGGAGGACTCGACGGGCTTCAATAGGGGCCCGAAACACTGTCTACCGATTCATCATGTCCCGGGTCCGCCGCTGACCTTACGTATGAACATTCGCAAGCTCCCTTGGCCGCGGAGGGCGCCAAGGGAAGAACATCAGTCCATGAGAAAATGCTTAGAGCACTCTAAAATTGGACGGGCCCCTTTCGGAGGACATGGATCTCTAATTATGGGAACCACTTCAGAGCCAAATTAGGAGCGGCGTTTTGCTTCAATGGCGTGGACAGCTATGATATTAGAATAATATAGAGTCTGTTGATGGCTTTTGACGATTGAAGCAAGCACGCAGCACATGCGGGCTTCCCGCACCAGCACCCGAAGCCACGGAGCCTTGTGGACTTCGAACGTTTTGGAGATTGTGAGGTATGCAAGACGAGCAAAACATATAATGTAAAGCTCAAGGACTCCAATGAGACTGAGGGACGGAGGGTCAAGGACCGAAGAAGTTACAGAACAAAGGGAAGCGTAGACCTCTAGAAAAAACTTCCACGTTTCTTCCACTGGTCTATGTGGAAAAATGCCTGAAGATAGTGACCCCTCTCAAAATTTCGGTCTACGACGTGGAAGTCAGACTTGTACAGACTTGTCAATATTCAGGCCGAACTAATCACACCTTGAGAGTAGATACCCCACACTTCCAAAACTCTTCATCTACCTGTCCGAGTTCATTGATTCTCATTTCACAGCGTTGACTAAACATAGTTGACAAAACAACTTGAAGCAACTATGATTTTCTTCACTCATTTGTGTTGTCTACTTCTGCTTCTTGATCTATATATCACATTTGGACATGTGTAAGATACCCGACTACCGGAGACTAGGTAGATTTCAAGAGAATCGTTGTAACCGCGTAGCAATGTACGTCCAATGGCTGTTGTTGGAGGATGATCACTAGTCAAGGAGTTTTGGTTTGTCTCGCTTTCTTTGTCTCGAGCTATAACGATTGACGACAGTCGCAGCTTCAGTATCTACGTCCAATCCAGACCCGGCATCGGTTAACATGATAGGATCGGCGTGATGTAAATTCGGCTGTGTAGACACAAGTGCGGGAAGATTTTACTGTTGGTGTTGTTGTCACCAAAGGCTCCAAATTAAGTCCAATTTTAAGAATGGGCCTTTCAGAACACTGTAATGAGGAATTTTCAGGATGAAAACCTCTTCCCATCCTTACATTTATGGACCACTTTCCAGTGTTCCTCCGTTGCATGATGTACATGCTCCATAACTGCCAGAACTGTTTTCATAATGGTTAGTGCAGTCTGATGTGTCCGATAAGTTTCCAGGAACTTTCCTTCTTATGTGACACGCGTTCTTTGGCAGATAAGTCTAGAGGGTCAGGTTGCTTAAAACACCAAACAAGGGGTGACTGGTAAATCAGGTACACAAAGACGCACAATGCTCCCACTGTGGAAAGAATCTCGAGCTCTGCACCTTTGATGAATTTATTATGAAACATGGTACAGCACTTCAAATATGCGCAGTCGTTGCTGCTGGAGCATGATATAGCATGGCAAATGCAGATGCCGTCAACTTCCCTGCTTTGCACTAATTAAAGGAAAAAAGTAGCAAACTGGCATAAGATGCTGCAATATCACCTTTCGTCGGTAAGACCTATAAATGTAGTGAGATGTCACTAAAACTTAATCTAATCCTTGAGGTACGGGGTTGTCCTCATTTTTGTCGCTTGTAAATCTTTCCCAAAAATGCTTTTAAAACGGCCTGAAGCACAGCCAGAAAAAAAACAACAGACCACTGAGAAAGGACATAACAAGAAAATAAAACCTGTTGAGCTGCTCCATCACTAAGCGATGAAAATAGTTTCTATTTAAAAAAAAAAGATTGTTACTTAACGATTGAAATTATTTGCCATCTACCATCCAAGAGCAAGTTTTCTGCTCGTAAAATCAAGAGACACGGTTATAAAAAGTTGTTCACTCACCTGTAGAGGCAAACTTTCTTGCTGCTCAATTGCAGCGATCAAAGCAACGTAACTCTCCTGCTCGTAGTCTTCGAATACTTTCTGTGATCCAAGTCCAAAAGATGGATCAGCTTGAATCACCTGATGAGACATAATCCTAAATCTGGGCTTCTGGACAAGAAAAACTCACTAACCTTTCCAATAATGTCTTGTGACAAAATATGTGGAACACACAACATATACGTGCAAGCTCAATATCTGCCCCAAGAGCACTGCTTCGAAACCGTAGATCACAATTCAGCTCAAAACTCTGCAAGAGTAAAATTCAAACCTCAAGATTCAACTCTTTGTATAGCTGCTTAATAATTGCCACCTTCGAAGGGTCTTTCTTTCCATAGTTCTCCTGTAAGAAGAGAACGATGATTCTTAGAACCAAAGCATCTGGAGAAAACATGTATCTAGAATGAAACATGAGTGTCATACATCGATACATACTTTGATGACATTCTTTTGGTCCTCACTGGCCCTTTGAAGGGCCTGAACCACCAACCACGAGCACTTTGTATCTTCAATGTCGGTACCGATCTGCCAAGTAGTGACCGTCAATGAGGGGAAGAACTTAACGAGTAGCTGAAGTAAAAACGAAGACCAAGCGCAAATGAGAAACAAATGATCTCGCTGGAACCAGTGATGTTACCTTTGCACAGATCAAGGTAACATATTTGACTCTACAGTTTTGAAAATCACAACGAAGACCTAGCTTCAATGATGGATATAAAAAAATCCCTTACCTTTCCAATGAATGCAGGATCTCCATAGCAGTCAAGATAATCATCCTGGCACAGAAGACAACTTCGTTAGTTTCAACAATAGAGCAAACTGGCTATTAACACATTTCAAGAATAGCTTTTGACATGTTGAAGCCAACACTAGGGACACAGTACACGATGTGTATTATCTTACGCAAGCTTGCAACTATGTACAACAACCAGTTAGCAGACAAATCTAAGAGCAATTACCTGCACTTGGAAGTATGTTCCCATCTGGACGAGAATTTTCTCCGCAGCCTCAAACTTGGCTTCATCCTTCTCTCCAGCCATTAACAGGGCGCAAGCTACCTGAAGGACATCGAGAGATGTGAGGGAAGAGAAAAAGGCTGCATTCAAAAATTGAGTCTCATTACTTTTTTGGGTTCTCTACGACTATTCCGAACGAAAGGCTTATCTACATATAACATTAAGTATTAATAGCATTGATGATTGCATCCAATAGCCCTAACTCACAGGGAGGTAGAAGGAATAATAAGCAGTCTTGTATTGCACAATTTTGATGTATCTGCAAATAAAGTCAAAAAATAAAGAGTTAGAATCGAGCAACAAGGCCTTCACGTATTTTGTTGGCCTCCAAATCACCAATTGAAACAAAATTGTTAAGCCTCTACAACTTTGTTAAGATGTTTGCAAGCATCGACAACAACCATGAATTTTTAACGTTGAAAAGGCGGTTGGAAATCAAGGCACAACTCGTGAGATAGTACTTTATTTTCAACATACGTAAATTCAAAATTTAACACAACATGAACATCTGTAATTAGAGCAAAAGGAATTACAGTCCATCCAACTCACGTAGGCATGATGTACTTAGACAAATCCACTTCTCCCTCTGGAGTAGTAATTAAGTCGAGCATTTGACCCAACGATGTCTGATACTCAACCTAAGGGCAAAGCAACAAAAATACTGTCAGCAGAATCATCGGTTGGTTCAAGGCGAAAAAACATTCAGGACAATGTTTTTCTGGGGGTGTCCTGGTGAACTTCCGCTGAGCCAGAAAAAATTCAAAGTGCCTTACTGTAGCCATAAGTAAATTTAAGAACCAGCAATAGTGCAAGTATTGAAGCATACTTCGTTGAAGATATCAAGAAGCTCAGTGTAGTAAGGCATGCCCTTGAAGTGTCTCTTCAAAATCTGAGGGATGTGATTGCGAAGGACTATTCCATCATTTATCGCAATCATGCCCACCTGCGATACAAGGTTGGCGTCAACAGATAGGCAATGATAAATAGGAGTAAAAGTACGACGATCCGAAACATCTCCAAAGTAAACAAGGTCACACTCCTACTCAATTACAAGTCACGGAAAATAAAGATATCAATAAGTGAAAAAAACCCAAGGTCAGAATGTTCACCTTGGGAATTTTGTACCAGCAAGGTTGTCCCCTTCTCGTAACTGAATGATCCATGATGTCATCTTCGACGAGGAAATACCCTTGCAGCTGTATCAAATTTCAAAAATAGGTCAACATACATGAAGCTTGATCAGAGAAATAGCAGATTTTACAAATTGAGGTTTTTAGCAGGATTTACAAAAGTTGTAAAAAAAATCTTATCTCCTGGAGAAACTATAGCACAAGCTGGCGTTCACTCACCCATTCGACACACCAGCCCAAAGATGAGGAAAGAAAGTACTCTTCCTCCGTAAGCTCTCGCTCTTTCAGCAACCTCAGACTGTCAGGAACTGAAATGCCTCGGTTGAGCTTGCCTGCACAAATTCAAAACTTAGTTTGTGAGCACTCCATTGCTTAAAAGTGATCAAAGCCCACATACAAGCGCAGTACGTGTCTGACTCCAAATTAATATTCAGGACTAGGCTCGAAGGTGAGGGCATCAAGAAAACACAATGAAGGGGATGTGTAGGTAAATAAATACCTCCAGGAACAGTGTGATCAAGCATCTGGTCGACCACAAGAATGAGAAGACAGAAATAAGCAAACGTTAGAGAAAATTTGGCTGAAAAATCTGGAAAATCAAATACTTTTTCAAAACTTGGACAACATCTACGAACGGCAGGATTGTAAGTAACATGATGTGCATAGGCAATGTGCGTAGGAAACGCAGATTGGAGATCTGAAAGTCACCTTCTCGACCCACACGCGCGATTCCGGCGTAAACTGAAAGGTCTTGCTGTCAGCTAACAGCTCAGTCTTGAGCTGATTGTAGACCTCCAAAAATCTGCTTCTCTCATTTGCTGGTTTGATCTTCTGAGCGTCCCCTGATCCATTGCTGGCTGCTAATCAAGCAAAGAACGGGAGAGGCCAAATCTATCAGAAATCGAATCGCGTTTCTCTAGGATCTCTCTGCACATTATCCGAAATTCTGACAATAAAATCGTCCTGACACCCACTAGATATGAATCTCCGCACAATGCAATATTGAGACACATTCCGACGACAGCTTTAGGCAAAAGAAAAAACTCTGAATCGAGTGCATTTGATTGCGCTGTTCCTACCCACAGTCGGGGCTTCGACCAAGCCCATTTTCTGACAATGCGGGTCAGAGGGCGACAGAGTCCAAGAAGAGAAAGAAGCTGAGACGCAAACGCCGACGACGTTGCAGGATCTGAGGTCTTTGATGATCTGTGATTTGCTCAAAAGATCAGCAAATCCCCTCTGTAACCATAGCATTCAAAACCGCCTCCTGCTCCTTCTCGGTCCAGATATAAACCTCCCGATCTCTTCCTCCCACACTCGGTCCCTCCAAGAAAGAAAGAGAGAGCTTTGGCCGTGGGCGGAAGAGCAAGCAGACGATCGACAGAAAGAGACAGGTCACTCCTGCATCGGCTCAGCTCAACACATGACTTATAGTGGGGAATCTTACTCCTCTAGCACGAACCTGGGGTTGGCATTCGTCGTTTGCGCTATTTGTCCCCATCCCCGCGGGGTCGGTGAAGGTGCTGCCTGCGAAACCAACTGGACTGGTCACGGGCCATGGACTCCACTATCTTGACTCTGCTCTATTTTCAACTTACACTCGATTCTGATTCCCGAGGTCCTCCTCCTCGCCAATATTGGAGCGGAAGTAGCGAAGGTCGAAGGCCGTGGTGGGGCCCACCCTCTGGCACGAGCCTCCAACTGCTAGAACGGCTGCCCCAGTCGACTGCAGTTCCTGCACTTGTGCCACGCGCAGTCGCTGATCCACTGATCTGGAAGCCTGACTGCTGAGCTAGGAAGAGCCGTGTGTTAGTCTAAATGCTTCTAACTCCTCTGTGTCCATATTTCGACCAGACAAAGAGAGAATACAAATGTGAATTTAGATTGTTCGAAAGAACCTAACGTAGATAGTTTACGGTTATATTATATTGTTGAATCATGAAAACGAGACACTAGAGACTAGGGTATCTAGCCACAATAGTATCGTGGAAAATATGTCCCGATAAACATTGAGTACAAAAGTTCGGGACATGTGCTGCACATTACTTGCAAAACTGGAACATCATTTCACAGCCATTAAAGATAGTGCAAAGAGTTTCTTCTCTGGCTGAAGTGTTGCACGTTCTTCCTGTATATTCCACACAGAGGAAGAGTCAATCTCGATTGTTGAAACTCATGGCATCTTCAGCATTTGAGAGGAGTAACAGTTGTAGAAATTTTTTTAATTAGCATCCATAAATGAGAGTTCTACTTGCTCTACACTTTTTTCTCTATATATTGTTAAATATTGCAAGAATAAAAGTACAACAAAGCATCAGGACGGGTTTGTGGCTCAGGAAGATCACGTCGAGCATACAAGGAAAAATCCACGAAAATAAAGTATAGGCTCCAGTAGTATCATGATGAGAAAAATATCACATACAATTTACTATATTGATAATGTTGGAAAAATTTTCCAAACCTCACGTTTAGCATCTTGGAATGTCCATGTTTCACGTAAACTATAGGAATCATGGGCGAGACATTGAAATATTTTTCTTTAAGAATGATGAAGTATGAACAATTCTTTATGCTGAACTTCCAATCGAACGAACGTACAACCCTATGGAAATGTAAGTCACCGATATTTCTGAAGCTCACTGCAGTCTTGCATACTCACACTATATTGTGATTCATTCGGGCCAAGGTGCAGCACTCAGGATCATAGACTCTAGTTATAAATGGTAAATGGTAATGTTATAATAAAGCTAATCATCACACTGAAGAAATTGGATAGCCACGTTGCAGTATCACGTATCAGGGTTGTGCTTCACTTCAGTTCATTGTCAATCAAAAATCAACAATGTGGTGATTGTTTCGATTTACAATAACTCTCAACAAGTCGTCCAACCCTCAACGATATCATGCTGTTAGCCAGAAATAGAATTTTCTTTTGTCTTCGTTAATTTATTTAATATCAGTAACCACCAGTGAGAGCAGGTGGATTGACCTGAGCTATGGGTATGTGATTCATACTGGAAGCAGTGTGAATATTGGAATACTTTATGTAGTGGAATCTAACTTTACTTCCGTCTTGGAATCCAGATTAGTCGGTGCACGGCTCGTGGGAGCAATAATACTTGTACTTCAGAAATAGGTTGTTTACTACTGCTAGAACTTCAGAAGTATATGAATTCCACATATCGTCCACAATAACCATTTGATTTTAATACTATGTTTGTTTCTTATTCTTTTTCAAAGTTGATGACATGTAAAAATCAAGGAATTTTTTGAGCGGAAATTGACCTCAATGTATATTCTCCTCCAGTGGTCTGGGAAAAGTAATAACCACGCCCGTTCAACTTGAACTAACGAATATGACGAGACTAGATGGTGCACATGGTAAGATGCGCGAAGAATGTGTTGAGTGGAAACCTAGAACTACAATCATGGCGACACGTAAGCAAATCCCAATCCTTACGTCAAGAGTACGTAGGCCGAAGTTACGGCACGTCGCCAAAAGGAGGAATTTACATCGCGCATACTATCAAGGCCCTCAACGTGCTGTTTCTCACTCTTTCCCACCACCGAAGATTCAGCATGATAACTGCAGAGGACCGGATATCGAGGTTCATACTTATAGGTACTGAAGCTCATGCTGCAAAGGTCCTAGTTTATTGCTGATCAATAAACTAACAGTAGTATTCACGTGTAATCTATCGTCGTTGTCAAGTAGCCACCGCTCAGGCCCCGTATCATGGTTCACCGGGATCACTAAATATCAGCCAGAGTACTGTTTAGTCTCAAAGTCCTCTGCTTTGAATCCCAAGACACATTCGGTACCATCCAAACTCCAATTAGAACTTCACAACAAACACTGAAAGACGTCTCTTTTGGACTTTATAATCACAAACAGCATGACGGATTATGTCATATACAAAATCTTCTTGAAGCACTTTAATTAATATTTCGAACAGAGTATGAGTATGTCAAGAATTTCCAGTGTTTCCGTTCTATCTAATTATTTTCCTTCTTATTCTTGGATGACTGCAATCGGACGCCTTGACTACCTCGATTGAGAACCACTTCATTTTGGACTTCAAATCTGGAACTGAGTGCAGAAGTGAATTCCTTTAGATAGAGCGTCCTTCTGAACGACCTAGAAGGTTGTAGATTTGAAGCAGCAAATCTGTCCTGTATTTGCAGTGAGGTAGAAACTCAGACAAGCTAGATGTACTTACGGAGAATTTCTTGAGAATATCTGCACAATATATATGTGCGTTCGATCCCAATCTAGTCTCATAAGTTTTGAAAAAGTTGTGTTGATCATAGGAAAATCTACATCAGCAATACTGAATCAGTTTCGTGTACAGACAAAGATGTCTTTGTCTTTGTCCAGCTTTAAAAGAAAATAGGAGTCAAGAAAACCTCCTACGAGCTTCTTTCTCAATCCCTTGTTGGTGATATCGCTTTTACTCCGTCAGCCCCAGAATGTTCGATCCTAATTGCAGATCCGCCCGGCAACTGCGACCAGATGCAAATCACGAAACGCTTAGAATAAATTATACATATAATCGCATCACCAATCCAGCATGAAGTCTGGTAGAGGAGGGTCACAGTAATAAGCTGCGCGTTAGAGATCGATAGATTGTTGTTGTTGGATTCGACAACAACAACGAAAGCAGCAGCGGGTAGATCAAGTGTTCCTTCCTGCGAAAAGAAGTTGTACGTACAGGTTGCAGGTATAAGGATACCTGCAGCCGATCAGGAAACTCTTCTCTCTCTCTTTCTCCCCAAAGTCAGCATAGAAGTTCAAATAACAGTTCGTGAATTCATGGACTCGTATACACACGGACTTCACATTAAGTTTAATTGATCATCCTATTCTAGTCCAATATTCTACAATTACTTGGCTCCTTCTCATGTTTCAAACTCACTTCATTCAACAGGGTTTTTAGTTGTATAATGTGGATGGTCACGGAATGCGCCTTTTCGTACACACCACTTGCGAACAGCCGATCTACACAGTGGATCCACTGATCGACTTCTATGTCCGCATGGGAAATCAATTGACTTCTTCAAATAAGTTTAGAGTTACTGCTTTAATAATTATAGAGGGATTGAAAAAATCATAAAGTGCTTTGAGATCATTTCCCTTCCAGATGAGTGAGTGCCATTGGTAGTAAAATATATATATGGGCTAAACCCCAACAAATCATGACAGATGAAAATGCTAATAGAACCCAAATGCTACTAACCCCATTGTGAATGTAAAATGTGTAAATATCTAAATATTCCCAACTATCTAGGTAGATTTGTGTGCAGATGATTTAAGAATAAGTAATGAGTGTAATTGTAATCAAGTACATAGCATTAACTATATATATATTGTATTTTTGAAATATTAGAGATTATTACAATGAAATCAGTTAAAAAATGAAACAAAAAGTAAATATTTGAAATGATTATAATTTTTCTTAAATAGATCTTACCAACATGTACAATAAGATAAAATCTCTTTGTACTTGTTATCAAACATATCTTCCAACAAGATATCAACTTGTTATCAATACATTATGAGTGGATTGATAACAAATTTTTATCTTGTTGAAAATAAAGTTGATAATGAAACGTATATTAAATAAATAAAATGTATAAATTTTTCATTTTGATTCAGTATAATTTGATGTATAATATTTGAACTTTTCATCAACTTCACCTTCGATAAGTTTTTTAAATAATTAATTTTATCTTTGCTTACATTTTTGTACTCCAATTGTGTTGTATGTTAAAGTACAACTGGTATGTTTAAAATCCATTGCGCAACAAATCAATGCTTTCCCATAAAAGCATAATTCAACATTCATTTCTAGTTCAATACATGTTCAATATCACAAATGTCTTACCTATATATACATATACAAAATGCACTAATTTTAAAAATGTAGTATAATGGAAGTATCATAATTCAAGGTAGGATTAGAAAGTTCCAACATGCAAACATTAGGCACGTTCAAATGATAAAGTATCAACATCATTACTATATGTCAAATTTACTTAATAATGCTCTACAATTTTATCTTCAAATAAGAGAATTTCACAACTCAAAAGCAGAGTACATTTTTCAATAAATAAAGATTTTGATATAATATATGAACATATTTTTTATTGAAACACAAACATGCTTCTCTAAATACGACAAATACAAAATTTGAAAGTCCGATTGCCATATTTTGGTCTTAGAAAGTTTCGTATGTCCAACAAAAAAGTCTTTGTTATCTAGGTGGCTTTGCTAAAGAAACATAGGGAGTCACTCAGCTAAAACTTTGAGGTGACAGTTTGTGAAAATTTCTTTGTTGATCTTGGTGGCTTTACTAGAGAAACTAACGGATTTACTCAACTAAAACTTTGCGATGACACCTG